ATGAATCACAGCACTTCAGATAACATTATTTATTTGTCCCTTGGGTTCTTAGTGGAACATAGGGCTTCAGCAGCACGTCTCCATTTTACTCCCTCTCTGCAGTCTTTTGAACCTGGCTCCACAACCTCTCATTTCTTCCTCACACGATCTCCTCCTTGTCACACTCACCTCGGACGCCCAACTTGTCGCTTCCCATCGGGATTCTGCTCGACGTCCTGACGCGTAATGTCCCCAGTCGGCCTTCTCAATGTATGCCCAATCCATCCCCATCTCCACTTCCTTTTGCATATTTGTGTTGAGCGATAGCCTCTTGGTTAGTGCGTTGCCAGCCAGCCAGCCAGAGTTGCTTGTTGCTTATTCTTTCTGGCAATCCATCTGAGCTTCAGTAACGAGCCAGTGTAGACAGTTGTTGATGAATATGTGTAGTGTGTTGGAAATCCCTTTCGTAAGGCACCAAGTCTCTCAACCATCACATAGAAGCACTGACTTGACTGAAATAGTGTTGCAAATCCGGATCTTGTTCACGCTGTGTGCTGAGTGCAGTGCAGAAGATCTCCACATTGGTTTCAGGCTGATGAACGTCTGTCTTGCTGTGTTTCTGATCCTGTCTGGCTTTACGTCTTCGTCTGTGCTGCTTATAGTTGAAACAGTGCTGCCTAGATAGGTGACGGAGACTACTTCCTTTAAGTTTCTCCCGTTGGTGGTGATTGGTGCTTGTTGTTGTTGGTTGTGTATCTTCATCACTTCTGTCTTCTCTATGGTCACTTGAAGTCCAGTCTTCGCTGCCTCGCCTCTTCTGTCAAGTTGTTAGTTTTCGCCTGTAGATCTTCGAGTTTGTGCGACGAGACATTAGACATAAATCATCTGCAAAATCCAAATCTTCTAGGCTCAATTAGTATTCCTTATTCAATGTTATTCCTGGATGTACCCAATTCTCATAATTTCTACATTGTTCACAGTTTCACATAATCCGGTAATTCTACAAAGACACATCTGTTCAAATACAACAGCGTTTGACAAAGCTCTATATCTGATGATGTCATTTTAGGCAATGTACTTGGCCACCGACTTATGTTTCGCACAGCACTCATTTCCTACTAGTTATTCAAGTATCCTGCAGATGCCAAGAGTTATATATCCATAAGGAGATCCCACTAGTTAGCAACCTAGTGTGGCCGAAGCAAAAAGAGTGATCTAGTCACTTAACTATCTAGCTTCATTGATGCCAGCCAGATAAACAGAAAAAAGTAGGCCAAATATAATACTATTTATTGATATGTTTGTAATTTTCCGTTGTTTTCTTGGATAGAATTGTTCAGCTTCTGTTGGCATATTGGCTCGTATGCGGATGCTAATAGAGGTTGAACAATTAGATCCAATGAAACAGAGGAAAATTACAAGCATATGAACAAATAGTAATAATTTAAAGATCCCCATAGACTATTCAGAACAAGAATAATTTGAGCGAGCAATTGTTTTCAATAACTACTTCTTCAGGCTCTACAGTTATAAATCCATGAGAATAAGCGAAATACAATAGCCGAAAAGGGAACATGATGTACAGTTATTACTATATTGAAAAAGTCGGTGTTATAGGTGAATGGAGATCAAATCGAATGGAATGGTATAATAGTAATTAGTTTAGTGTGTTAGTTGTGCAAAGGAATCAATATTGAGAGAACAATTACGAAATGAGAAGTTATTGAAAACAATTGTTCACTCAAATTAATCTTGTACTGAATAATCTATGGGGATCTTTAAATTATTAAAATCTAGTGATATGATCTGTGGCAACTTAGACCGTTACGCAGTAATCCCTGGTCATATGTTGATATTGATGACGATGATGATTAAAATCTACTTAGCATCCCATTGCACTAGAAGTATTCAATGAGTTCCTGAAGTATAGTGCTAGGCTGACTGAAGTGAAAACCACCGTGGAATTCATTCGAAATTGCATTGTGGACAATATACATCAAAAATGAATATTCTAAATCATTTCGTTGATGTAAAATACGACCAAATGTAAAATTATTAAAACGATTCACAATTAATTAAATTGATTCCCTTCAAATATATATATCACTGAACTGGAAAGAAATATTACACAAAGATCTCATGCCGTTAATGAACTTCCATAAAATTTAAAGGAATCGTTTATTGAGTATGTTAATGAAGTAATGCACATGATTTTCATCCCACCTGAATATAACTTATCATTACATAATTATTATTTGACCCTTATTTAACATACACACACATATTTATGCCTCAATAAATGTATATAAATGAATCATCATTTGTAGATTTTGTCTCCTCATTTCGTAATTGATCCGTCAATATTGATTTCCTTGTACAACTAACACACTAAACTGATTACTATTATACCATTCCATTCGATTTGATCTCCATTCACCCATAACATCGACTGTTTCAATATAGTAATAATTGTACATCATGTTCCCTTTTCGGCTATTGTATTTCACTTATTCTCATGGATTTATAACTGTAGAGCCTGAAGAAGTTATTGAAAACAGTAATAACTAATACCAATCATACAAGAGGTGGCTATCGTGCCTCATTGGCCTAGAGGCGATAGGTACGAGTCTCAGTGTGTACACTATCACTCACTAAAGTGCTGACGAGTCCTAAGTAGGACGAAACGCACGTCATGGATTCCTCTGCTAGCCACAGCGAAGTAGATTATCAGGCTAAATATAGACTAAAAACGGGTGGTGACTGAAGGTGAAATGAAAATTTGAACCACAACAACATCTGAACCACCACCCAGTTATCAGTACTAGTCTGCCAAATCACGGTTCTCATAGATAGTCCAAATGATAATCAGTATGATGCGCCCCTCTCTAATCCAGTCAGATTGGGATTAGGATGAGAAATCGTGACTGGACAACCAGTGTGAGTAGGATCAAGCTATAGTAACACATAACGACTTCACATGGGAGTCGAGTAGAACCTTTAGTGATCAAGTCTCATATTTCAGTCGGTAAAGCACAGATCCGGCAACCTAGTGGTCACTGGTTTCAATCCTGCAGTGGCCCAAATCTCCATTTCACCACCAATCATCATTCAGTATCAATACAAGTCTGCCAAACTGCGGCTACCTCAAATGGTCAAAATGACAATAAAATGTAGACTACTATAGCTTGAAAAACTACTTTTAATGTTGAACCCATTAAACACGAACATTATGAGTAGACAAATATCTAATTGTTTTTGTTTCAATTTGTCTAACTGATAAATAGTTGAAATGTTACTAGATCGGAAGCAATCGGCAGGAAGTTCTGCTTGACCTTGGTTTCGTACTCGTTGGCACTCATCAGCAAGACGTATCTGCAACCTCGACTGAACTGATATCCTACCTGAGATTCGAACTTCCGAGCTTGGTAGCCTTTTTGGAAATATGATCTATAGGAACAATATGAAATTGGTTGCTCTCTAACGACTCATCAATACATAGTTAAAATGTGTTGTGTTCAAGGGATTTGAACAGGTTTAAACTAAGGCCGATACTTCAACTCACTAGATCTGTAACCAAATATGAACATCAATATTTTAAAGAACTTAAATGTTACAAACAAAATTATAGAAATGCACATTAATTTATATTTAAAGTTATTATCTTCTTCAGGTCAGTTGGCCATAATGTACAATGTTAATGAGGTAGTTAACATGAAACAAGTTATTTTAATTTATGCATACTGTAGTAACATTGATCATTGAATAAATTAAACTCATCATTAAACTTCTAATCTCTTTATAATACTAACCATACTTTGGTAGATGAACTAGCTTTCGAATAAGGGAACCAATAGTCGATAGATGGCAGTGTTGTGTTAGACAGTCTTATTATCAGTGCTTTAATATATACAAGAAGGTAGTATTCCTAATGGACTGATATCAGCTAGAGAACCAATGAAAACCAGCGACCACTGAACAGCCGTTTCGTCCTAGTATGGGACTCTCCAAGAGTACACACTTACAACATAGAGGATGAATGACTAACACGTTCGCCATTACACATGAAAGTCCTGAGTTCAGACATATACCTACTTCCGTTCTAATCTTGCCCATCGAGGTGTGAGGCTGCTCAGTATGAGCAACACGTATTCAGTCTATATGAGTCACATTCGAATAAATTACGAAATGACTAGTGTGGGAAATGATTCAGTTGCAGAAACACTACAATTCGCAGTTGTCATCAGGTCGCAACACACGACTACTACTCAAGTCATTTTGTTTTTAGTACTGCCATTTAGAACTTTGACAAAGTCCACCTTAGCAGACATTGAATGAGATGAATGAAATGTACACCTTAGAAGAAGCGTCTAGATTACTTCGAAATCTAATTCCACCCAGATTTCTATCCTCTTGAATTCATTCCGCTTTCAAAAAACACGCGACAATTACCTACATCCCACTCACTGCAACGAAATGTTGTAGTACACGAGTATATATAAAATCAACTCAGCCAGTAACGGTTAACAATCAGAGAAAATATAATTATTAGCGAAGCCTGACATCAGACACTTTGAACACAACACTCATGGATAACACTTTACCCAGTAACGCAAAAGAAAATCACGAACTATAAATTGTTGGAGGAAGGCATCTCAAACACAGAAGTTCAGAAGAATGAATCTGGAATAAGGAAAGAGTAATTTCAACCCACAAAAGAAATGGTATACATTCGTAGTGAAGCCCAACCCACCTCTGCTTCATTTCTGGCGAGGTCGATGGTGTGCATTGTTGCGGAGTCACATACTAGAACGAAACAACTGTCCAAAACCGCAAGGATTTCAATGGTTCTTCAACTGATATCCATCTGTGTTTAGTACCACCCACCTCAAAGACAGTTAACCAATCCCTAAAATCTTTCAAAATCGAATATATATGTTACATAGTTCAGTGCTTTTCTAGAACCCAATCCTCGCCCCCACCACCTACACCGCAGAAAATGATTACAATTAACAAAACAAAAGTTAAAGAGTATAGTATATTTCATCTGATGAGTACTCACTGAAAAGTAGTAAGGAACACCTCTCATGAATACAGAGTAAATAAACAACAATGTGAAATAGTTTATATCAGCAAATTGATACACAAGTAATCAATATGTCCAACTATCTTCGACTTGATCTACGAAGAGAAGAACGGGTCAATCTTCCACATCCACTTGATCTTCTTGACATTGAAGATGGTGTAACAGATTGTCGAGAGTTTTTAGGAGTTCGATTACGGTTTCGAGAGGGTGCTGAATGACTAACAGAAGAATTATTTGGTCTTTTGTCGGCATCGTCGTGATCATCATCATCATTAGAAGTCTCTGATATACGATTGGCACGATTAGCTCTAATACGTGGAACGTTTCGTGAATTCACATCCCTTGACTTTCGCTTCTTCTTCTTCTCCTTTCTCTGGCAAGTAGTTGAATTCGCCTTCTTTGATTTGCTTTGAACTGGGGGAACTGTACTAGGGACTGGTGTAGGTGTAACATTTGAGTCATCATCATCGTCATCGGAAAAAGCCATTATGTTCTGCTGCAATGACCTATCTGCAAAACGAAGAAACCCGAAACATTCAGTAGACACTGTCACATATGAATACATCATGTTTGATACATAGATAATATGAACAAAAGACTTTACATGACTGTGCAGCGGTACAAGTTGTATCACTTCGTATCGTCACATCAAGCGAGAATGCAGCATCATGAAGGATGTAAACAAATGATGAAGAGCGGTTAACAAAGGCAGAAGTTGAGAAGAGAGAGTAAGGAGGTATGAGACAATGCTGAACTCAGTATAACCATTAAGATGAAGGCAGTGTATGGATGCATCTACACCAATGGGATCGTTTGGCAGCTACACAATCACCTACTCTTAATGTTAGGGTTTCGAAGCGTTACGGTTATATATATATATATATATATATATATATATATATATATATATATATATATATATATATATATATATATTCCGGAACGAATATAACACGCGCGCTTAGCTGACAGCTAACTTGGTACGCATGAGACACTGACTGCAACCCCGGGACGAATAAAGAGAAGACCGAAGCTGGCAGATGAGAGAGTGTATTACTCCGAGAATATAGTATAATATATCTGAATCAATCCAAAACACGTGAATAAGTATACACATGAAAAATGACCTTGTCGGTAATTGGAGAAATTCGCATAGTAAAAGTTAACCAATCAGCGAATTACATTACAATGGAGGCAGAAAATAGACTATTAGTCATACCGTAAAAATAATGTGGGAATGACACGTTAAAATGTTCAGATCGATAACAATGTTTTATACAAAACTGGGGCATCACAACACTTAAAACATCAGCCTTCGTTGTAGCCCCGACACCAACCTGAAAGCCTTCATTCACACTGGTGACAAGGAACACCATAGCCTTCTACACATTACATCAACCTGTACGTTTCCACTGAACGTGACGACTGGCTGGGAAGATGCATGTTGTAATGCTGACCTAATTAGGAATACTAGCCGTATAAAGATATCGTGGGTGTGTCACCTCAAACACCAACCCCTCCAAATCGTTGATCGTGCTAAAGCAAGTGAAAAAAAAATCCTTAACTTTGTTGTTCGAATCTACGGAATGAAACGTGAATGACAGAAAGCCCCTCGTGTAAGAATGCTGATCCAAAATGTTCGTTAGGATTGCTACAATTAAACAGCTGGACTCTTCGAAAAGGTCTCTCACTTTATTTTAATTTTCATGAAATTCAGAACTCATGTTTCACCTGATTTTCAACGCGTCAGCATTTGCATCCAACTGAAATTATGTGCTCTATCCTTACCTAGTCGGTCAATAAACTTAGGGAAACCGATATCACCAACCAATGGCGTCTGACTTACAACTATTCATCAAACATTGTCATTCACCACCCACAATTCACTTTACTATGTTACTGCTATCCAATCAGTAATCTGCCCGTCTATGCAAAAATTGTGCTCTCAACATGTGTTTTGAATATCGTGTTATGACAAGCTTCACATATGTAAATTGTACACAGGCAGAGGGATGCTCGACCAGAGTACGATTAAGAACACTATTCCACACACACACACACACACACACACACACACACACACACACAGAGTCAACTAAGTCGATTAAAAACCATAAGTTACACACACCTAAAGATAACATATCTCTAAGCCGCATATATGTTATGGCTGAAGTGAAATGATCAACAGAGAGACACTTAAAAGTGCAGAGTACCCCCAAATAGCTCTCGAAGAATGCATTTCATCTGTGAAGCGTACTATAGGTCCTCTCATTGAAGCTGATAACAAGATTAAAGTCAGTGATGTAGGAGAATCTAGGCAGTATGGCCAAGTGGCTCAGAAAGCCTGTCAGTAACCATCAACATGGGACTTGATAACACAGTGTAACGGTCAAAGTTGTCGTACGTCGTATCAGCACTTCAAAATACAAGATAATGAAAGATAAAGAAATAACAGAAGAGTCAAAGGCGGTAGAAGGAGTAGGATACATCAGAGTAGATGACAATCACTTCTTCAACGCGCTAGACGTATACACTGAATAACTAGGCCCAAAATAGTTATTTGAAACTGTAGACTTCCGTCTCTTAATACTAATATTAGGCCTCTCCCACCTTATCCAACCTCTGACTCTGTGACCATTCCCAATGATCAAAGCTATCGAAACCTCATTCCTAGTCTCCTAAGATACTGCGATCGACTTCTTGTTACAGCTTTCAGCGTCCGAAATCTGTGCCTAGTGGGACAATAAGAATCGTTCGCCAAAAATTTGGATGTGTGCTGTATCCCTGAGACACGTATACAGGATCCCAGGGTGGTTATCAAATTGACCTTAACTAGCCATAGTAGTGAATCTTCTAAACTCACCTTACGAATATCCGTGACCAGCTGACGTGAACCCACGGGTGTAGGCATATATATCATTGTGTTGTAGAGCGCTTCAACTGGGTAACAGTCAATGCATCCAACGGCTGTGGTTCAGATGATGCGAAGGATGAATTCCATGAAAAGCTGTCAATTTCGCTGCATAAACCAACTCTCCAGTAGATAAGCTGAGTCAAAAAGAAGGATATCTGAGAGGAATCTCGGGGGTCTCATGACAATAGACCGATGACAGTGATCATCTGTTTTAATTTTGTTCTAGCAATCACTTGTTTCTGGCGTTCAGTATCCTCAAGCGTAAATAGAGACACTATCTCACACGGCGTTCGCCGATATAAAATTAACGATAAACAATTCGATCATATGGCCACGAACCATAGTTAGAGAGGATCAATGAAGGACTGCCACTGATTTTTAGAGTATCTCTTTGGACTGCAATCATGAGTCAGCACGGATTCGTATGGCCCTGTGCCTAACTAGTCGCAGGAAACAGGTGATAGTGAAGCCTGTCCATTTTTCGAGTGGAAGATGAGGACGTCAAGTTCGTATTTGTAGACGAGTCAGTTAAGTATTTATTTGAGCGTAACAGTAATGCTCATCTGGAGGAAACCTAGCGTGATATTAGGTCTTCTTTGGAAGTACCTGGTAACCTACACCCACACCCGAAGGTTAGCAAATTTCACTGGATTTCCGCAAAACCATCCAAACTGTTTGACTCAAGAAGGCTGACTCCAGCTAGATCTGACGACAATGAAGAGTGTAAGCAACTCAAACGTAAGTTGACCAAGTGCCTTCACGTCTATCGCGAACAGCAGTGGGTGGCGAAAGCGAGAGAGATGGAGAAGGCATCAGTGTTGGGTAACAGCCGGCAACCATTTAAACTCATTAGCGTTACTGGTAAGCAGATGATGGTGAGTGAAGCCATCACCAAAACGATAAGAGGATGATAACCTTCCGGGACAGGCGGTCAGAACTATTTGAATCATAGTTCAACTGGCCCTCAACAATGCTCCAGTTGCCGAACATCCAACCTGAACCTAAATAAGACGAAGACGTCAACTCTCTTTGAAGTTGAGGAAGTTGTATCGAACATGCAACGATGTAGAGCAGTTGGGTCTGACGGTTTTCTACAGGAAGTTTCTAGGGGAGGGGGGATTAAGTGATAGAGGTAATGCTCTCAGACTGATGTACTCAACTGATCACCCTGGTTTATAGGGAGAGAAATCTTCTTGTAACTATCATAGAGAATTCACCATGTGAGCAATGTTGAGGTCAGGCGAACGGTACTAGGTAAGACAAGTCGATTGATGAGGTTGTGAACGTTAGTCGATTGAGGTGACTTGGACATGTGCTGCACATGTAGAGTCACCTCCCTCCCTCGATATGCACTACTAAGGGGATCTAGATTAGGTTGGAAGATGGTTCAGAGTTACCAAATCAAGACTTGGGACCAGTCGATGAAGTCACCTACTGTTGGTCTGAGTCACGTGGGGAAATGCAGACTGCTTAGTTGGGGTCCCGGAGACGAAAGCAATTGTTGGTTGAGGACTTTTGGAAACGGCTGAAAATCATTCAAAATGACGCAGGTATATTCACTCCGTGACACCTTCTAAACCTTAAATATTTGCACTAACCATTATCTTCAGATTGTTTACTCTCTTACATAACGTTGTCTACTTTAATATCACTCTTATTCTATCCACTTGTTCTTTGTATGGTACTGTGAAGTGTAGCAACATGAGCCAATGTACTTGTGTGCGAGGTTCTCTGCTGATTCTTTCTGCCTGCCCGTATCAGTCATGGAGAAATAAATCACATTTGTGTGATGAAAAATATCTCAAATTATCATGTAAAATGATTCATCCAAAAGACTATCCAACTTCATTTAAGATAACTGTCAACCTGCCAACTCTAGAAAGACTAACTAGACTCCTCCTGTCACAAAATGAATCGCGGTTAAGTCAGACGAGACAGACCACCGCCGCAGTCACGTCTATCACAAAATAAAATAGGAATGGATAAAGTGGAGATCATTGGTGAATACAATTCAACCGTCACACAAGACACCTGGCATCTCCTTAGAGGCTCTAAACACATCCACGGGTGCTAGAATACACAACATTCAGCAGAACAATACAGTTACCCGGCAGACCGTTGTTTCATTGGAGTCAAATGCCAAGAAACACTGCTGATATCGGGAACCAGTAAGACAGCTTATCACTTGTCCTACCAACGAGGAATCAACATTCATTTCAGATGGAGAAAAATTAGTTCTTAAGACAAAACAAGACGATCAGTGACAGTAAATTTCAACCTACCTAACAACGAAGTACCACCACCACAACTAGCAAGAGTTCTAGTCAATTGTGAAAATATCATTGTTGCATTTCCATGGTTTCTTTCAATTCCTGGTCCAGCTGAACTAAGCAGGTGAAAATTGACACATGCAGATCCAAGTAATGTAGGTTGATGTTGTTGGTCACCGTTTTCACCAACTATCAGTGTATTATCACCATCATTAAATTCATCATGATGAGATGATGAAGCAGTCAATTTGTCCTTGCCATTATCACCATCATCATTTTGAGGTTTAATTGTTTCATTCAGCTTAGATAGATCAACACCAAGACGTTGCATTTTTTCAACAAGTTGTTTACGGAAACGATGAAGATTCAACTTCAATGATCCATCAGTAAACTTTTGTATAAAAACAGATAGATGAGGAAAACAGGGAAACATACATTGAATGAAAATGTTAAAAGACAAAAATAAAGTGATAACTTCTTCCTACTTTTGGTGTGTACATATATATATATAGACATAAAGTGGGTATCAATTAATAGGAAACCCTTGCACAATCTAGGGTCCATGCGGAATGGCACTCAAAAATATCACAACAAGACACACATCTGCAACACGTGTAATCTTGGAGACTTGAATCTCCATGCCTCATCCACTCACTCAGTGACGCAACCAGACACTTCACCACTAAACGATTAAGACTAACATTTGATCGAAAGAGTTCAATCAGCACTAAGCATTGAGGCCAACACACAATTAGTCACATTGATTACACAACCACAACTGGTGATAGAGCCTATGAACGTGAAGTTCATTTATACAGTTGATCAAGGAAAGGAAAAACAGAAAGCTGCACAACAACCTTCTTTTAAGCGTACGTCACGTCTAAATGAGAATAATAAAATTCGCTTTTTCCCACTGTAAGCACTGACTGATCATGCTGTTTCTTAGGTTCAGTAAGTAAGTAAGCTAGAAAACACAACTTGTGACTGCCTATAAAAAAAGTCAAAAAAAAACTTGCCTAATGCTTTGATAAAAGCCACTTCAAAACGAAATAACTATGAAAGATGGAAATAGATAGATGGATAGATAGGTTGACAACATCAACATGAGACCTGGTACTACTGTGCAACAGTGCAAGTTACCACATTTCCTCATATAACCACAACAAGCGACAATGAATCAAGATCGAAGATAAAACACTGGGGGAAGAATCAACAAGTCAAAAGTGGTAGAGCAATGACAGAATACTCAAGCTCAATATGACGATTAACATGATGGTACGTGGATGCAGCAAATACACCCCCACTGAGAAAGATCGATTCTGACCCGTGTCACCCCCACCTCCTGCTTTCTTATGTTACGCGGGCACACAGAGATTAGACATATCTAATACATGCACCGGCCACCTGAATCGATAGATATTCACAACCTCAACAGCTGGCTTTCCTTTTCTCCCTAAAACTCCTCTATATCCGACTTTCACCTTACTGGCGTGGTGACACCATGACACATAATCTGTTCTACGAAGGCGATGGTAGTCGGATACCTGAAACCTTTTCAGATCCTTCATTTTAAATGACCATATTTAACAGCTGTAGGCTATAACCATCAAATCCGACAAAATAGTATACTGAATTTCATGATGGATGATCAATGTAGCTTCTTCAAGAACATTATCGATATTTTGACACCGAAACGTTTGCGCTAAGAATAACCTAGGCCTGAACATTATCAGAATAACCTTGGGAAATAATGCAGTGGTGGCGCTTATCGAATACCATTTCTTTATAGGTGAGAAAAACAACTCCCTGTCCTTCACAAAAAAAAATTAAACAAATTGTATAATCAACCAATTAACCAACCTTTGCCATAGAGTCGATAAGTTTCAATAATTCTTTATAAATCTGAATATTATGCGTAGACGGTCGTAGCCGAAAAAGCATACGAAGATATAATTTAGCCTCAGCTGACTGAGGAGCTTTCAATACTTCATTGGTCAGAATTGTTACCAATCGATCATGATGTGGATTGTTCTTAAGTTAAACAAAATTCAAAAAAAAGTAAGTTATGGTAAGACAAAGAAAGGTTAAAGTTGTGACAAATATTTGTAGCTCAGGGTGTAGATGTTCTGAGTTAGTGTGTGAGTTGCTCCCTGGCGACATTATACTTCCTAATGAGACAGATGTTTCCACACCATGCCGGACATATCTCATCATCAATACATTAGAGCTTCAAAGGAAGATGTACTAATTGATTGTGCATGTACATTCATTTACGTGTTACTACTATGTAACCTTACTGTAATCTAATAGGTCACTTGGTGACTGCTTAAGTATCTATTGAACCTGATTGGGTGTCATGAGTGAAACATCTCGATTCAAATGACTGATGATCTCCATCCTGCACCAACTGTTTTACTACCTTGTGAAGCTGTGATGGCACTTCAAAGGATCTCATTCTGAACAAGAAAATAGTCGTCAGCTAACTCACTGTCTACGCACTTAAGTGACTTTCAAAGTTATGAGAGATTTCTAGCTTCTCTGTTCAAACTGTCACAGCCTCTTAGCTTGAAGGCGAATGTGGATACATATGGCGAAGAGATGGAAAATATGAAAAGAAAAACAGTATATCAGAAAAAATTTGTTATTCGAATGATTGCGAGTGAGTGGAAATAATGTCTGCCTGCTATATGATAGTCGATTGCCATATATAATACAGTCATAAGAATAAACATTTCTAGTCTGACTCAAACAGAGATGATAACTACGACAGAACGAACTTTACGAGTTGAGAGCACTAATATAAAGCGAACGTCACGACACGGTCAACAGTGTTCCCCCCGGCCATCCTCTTGAAATGCGCTCATATCCTCTAACAATGACATTTTCCTACCAGAAATATGTAAGTCACTGACTTCACAGGGTATTTCTACAAGAATGAGAAGGTAAAGACGAACGTTCTCTGTTATAACAATCACCTCTTTCATTTCATAGTGCTGCCCTACATATACTATTTTATACAATTCATCTGTTTGAATGCCTATGATGAACCAACGAAGAGCTAAGCAAAATTTCTTTGAACACAGTAGAGAGAGTGAAAAACTGAGTGGAATATGCATTACAGAAACCACACAGAAAGTATATCTTTACAACTGGGAACTTACAATTTTCTCACTCTCTGGTACAACAATTGACACTGGCTCTAATTCACCTGTACTTGGACATCCATCTTCACCATCAGTATCTGTAGGCCTTTCTGGATCAGTACCAACCACAGTGGAGACATCGTTTGGGTTTGATTGATTTCTCATTAAAAAAGTTGTATCCGTTAGACGAGCTAGTAGACTAGCCACATCTTGTGCGTCAACTTCAGATAATGGTGAACATGCTGGTGCACGAATCAATGTGGTTAGTGTAGGCAGGACAGCATCAGCCAGTGCTGACTGATGTTCAAAAGCATCTATCCCCATTCCATTAGGACATGCGTAATCAGAGAAGAAAGAGGCCAATCCACGACGTAACTGTGGACTATCCTCACTAGTTGGATTAAACCATAGTAATAAGAGTAAACTAAGAATATGACTTGAAACAATACGATTATGGATTAAAAGTTTAGCCAAGCCAAGTGCAGCAGCAGAGTGTAATCCTTCATCCTGCATCAGAAAGACATTGAAAGAAAGAATGAACAGAAACAAAGCTTATCAAATATAAAGATATATACATTCTCAATTACTACGGATAAATATTTTAACTCAATTTAACTATGCTGAATAGCAATTCGTTCAGTAATCACAAGACATATTCCTACAATAGGCAGACAATAAATATGAAGGTTAATGATACATATTACCTGAAGAATTTCTACACGAATAACGATCCTCATTATTCGATTCCGGTTAAGTTATCAGTCATGAAAATAGAACATCAAGTGCAATCAACTCATTAACTCAATCTTACTTCATCTACTACCAGTTCGGTTTAGGCGACCAACCAGGTAATATTATAAGCTATAACAAGACCTTTTTTGTCTCAAAACTTAGTTAGGAAATAAGTAAACACACCAAACTGCAGAGAGATTACAAGTTACAATGATTGAAAACTGAACATATACATGGAGTGGTGTCGATACAAACACAGACTGATAGATCAATATAGAACTTGGTACACTGAAGCGAATCAAGTTGTCTTTCCCTCTTTCCCTCTTTCACACAAACACACACACACAACATAGTCAACAGCAAATACAGCACTTAACTTGACAATAACACTATGTGAAGATGTAGAGGAAAGAGAGATATGGTATGAGAATAATACAAAAAAGGACAAGTAGTCGCATATTTTGCACTCGCCAAACTTTTAACGTTTTCAAATCATTGCACAAAATCAAAATATGACCAGCACTAGTTCTAATACAACTAGATTTCTGATAATATCTTGAGTAACACAGAAACCAGATATGCCAAACGATATTTACTTAGCCAAGACAGTTGCCCTTCATTATGCGGTGAGAAATCATAAACTGACTATTTCAACGCCGAATCGAAATAGTTCTATGCCAATGGGGAGCAGGAGGTTTCATACAAAACTTACTCATTTTTCAATCATACTTGGAGTTCTCCGATGTTTTATTGGATAGAATTGTTCAACCTCTGTTGGCATATATGGGCTCCTATGCTGATACCTCGATATTGCCTGAGTGTTAATTAAGGTAATTTGGTTGATTGTGGCTGGCAAAGAAATCCAGCGTGCGCGTTTCGTCCTACTTAGGACTCGTCAGCTGGATGTACATGCACCTCAGTGAGTGATGTTCTTACTGAGACTCGAACTACGTACTCTTCGGCTTCAAATGCCAAGGCGTTATCCCCTATGTCATGGAGGAACGATAGCCACTTCTTGTACAACGGGTAGCAGTTATTACTACTTATTGACATACTTGGAATTCTCCGTTGTACAAAAAGTGGTTATCGTTTCTCCATGGCATAGGAGATAACACCTTGGCGTTTGGAGCGAAGGGTACGAGGTTCGAGTCTCAGTAAGAACAACATCACTCACTGAGGTGCACGTACATCCAGCTGGCGAGTCCCAAGTAGAACGAAACGCGCATTCTGGACTCTTCTGCTGGCCACAACCAAACAAATTATATTACGGTATTCTAATAGCACAGCATGTGTGCGTTAGGTAGGAAAATTGTTGAGTAAATAGGCGCGAAATCGAAATGAACTGTGTAAACACAAGACACGTCCGTACGGTAGGCAATGAGCTACACACCTATTGTCAGAAGGACAATTCATCCCACTTGATTGCCCACAATTTGGTAGGTGGAGTGGGGTTCGAATCCATGGCCTTTAACTACCCCTCAGTTGAACTAATGAGTCTACTTGTAAACAGCATTTTAAAAGAATCGAACAAAATGAAATGGAGTTACTTACCTCCTTCTCCAAAATTGAAGTGATTGGCTTTAACAGACGATAAGCTGTTTTTGACATCTCATTACATCGAACTAATACACCCTCAGAATGATTTGATTGATTTTTAGATTGTACAGAACCTCGAAGCAATCCTCGAGTCAAAACAACATAATCATGGTAAGCTGAAAGTAGGGGGGAAGTGGAAAACAACAAATAGAGCAAATAGAAGCTAGCTAGCAACTTTAACTGGACTACATACAAACACTTTGGAAGGATGAGATAACAAATTCAACAAGTCGTAAGGCTCACTTAAAACTGTACTGAGTAAAAAACCTTTAAATATTGAGCAGTTTCAAATAGTTACTCATCAATTACTCGTCGGTCTCTCGTGTCGTATGAGCTCCCTGTCAGAGAACACAAGCCTGAAAATATATTTTCATGTGATTTGCTTAGTGATGACGAAGGATACTAACCAAAACGAAGGCAAGCGAGTCGTTAAAGTTTCTGAGATTTACTGACTGAGATGAACTTTACATGTGCTGCGGATATTGAGCCACCCCTGGTCTCGACGTGCAATCCTAGACGGAGTGGAATTGCGTTTGAATGAATGCTGAGTGGAGAGAATAACACTTGAAATCACTTTACAAAATCTTTGACTCCCACTCTGAGCAATGTGAGGAGATGTAGATGACTGTTTTGTTGAGGTGCCTGAGACAGTAGGAACCAGTGACTGAAAACTGTTAGTGACATGGCTGGAAGATGATTACAATGGCGAAGATGAATTAACTCTTTGATGTCTTCCAAACTTCCAACATATTCACCAACCTTGTATGTCACTCTTTCTCTACCCATTTCTTCTTCGCATGCTGCAATGAAGTCTGCCAATTCGAACCAACGCGCTTATGTGCCAGAGGTAAAGGCTAGATGAATCAAATTTAGTCAACTTGTTATCAAGGATACCTACTTCTCCACTGCCTAAATGTCTGCATCGTTCTCACATCAGCGGAATCAGGAGATCGAATGATACCAGTGGGTTTTTGTCAACTTTGGGCAACCGCATATGTGCAGCTGGAAAACATTTAGCTAAATTGACCTACATGCGATGCTCATAAATTCTGGAATCTCTGAAAGTCATCTTCAATTGGCTGAACGTCACAGTCAGGATATTACAATGACAAACAATATGAGATTCTCTGTTGGATATCACACGGTATACTGATGTTAAACTGCCCACCATACCAGCATTATTTTTATAGACATGATCATCTGTGAGATATCCCAATGATAAGATAGGATAAATCAGTAACCACATCGTTCTGACTGATGAAATCAACGTAGAACCTCATAGACGGGTACATCGACTCAAGTTGCCACAACTCACAGTAGCACAACAAAGGACAGGTGGATAGAATAAGAGTGATATCACAGTAAACGAAGTTGTGTGACAGAATAAACAATTTGAAGATAAAGGTCAGTGAAAATATTCAAGCTTTAGAAGATGTCACGGAGTGAATACATCTGCGCTACTGTGACCAATTTTCAACCATTACCAAAAGTCCCTAACCAGCGATTCTTCTCAGGACCTCAGTCAGGCAGTCTACATCTCCCGACTCGGCTCAAGCAAACAGTAGGAGACTTCGTCGACTAGTGCCACGTCTTGGTGTGGCCACCCTCTTCCAACCTAAACCAGTTTCCCCTAACATGGCATGTTGTTCATAGCAGAAGATTGTATATTTCAGAGAACTAAGCATTCACAGGAACCGAACACTATGTATATATTTGAGAGGAAACTAAACATCCAATATAGAATTCTCTTTTGGATATCATAAGGTATGCTGATGCTAAATTGTCAACTAATTCGGCATTATTTCCATAGACGTGACTCTCTATAAGATGTGTAAATGACAAGATGAGATAAATCGGTACCACGTTGTGCACAGCAGAATGTTCTATTCTTTCGTGGCAAATAAACACTGTGTATACTTGTGACTTTCCCTGTTTCCTGAAGTGTGATGACTATATGAAGACTTACATTCTTCTTTCCAGCATTCCAACGCCTTCTGACAAGAGAACAGTGGGGCGGTGTCAGTACAATATGCAACATTTGTCCCCATCTAAAGCTAATATAATACGATTTGGTTAGTTATAAGTTAGCTCATATGTTGACAGATAATGTTCAGGAATATTTGATGACGTAATTTGCCAGCTTGTTTCTTTGTTGACACTGACAGAAAGAGTAACATAATGATTAGCTACTTCACAGGATAAATAACGCGATAATATAGTTCTTTCTTTGGTAGCATAAACAATTATTTACATTGACTAACTCTTCCACAGTAGCAACACTTTTTGAGGAGCTCAATTGCAAGTGTATTACATCTAAATGTGGGTTCTGTCGAAGCTAACAACAGAATACAGCTGAACTTCAAATCATCTACATAACATATTCCTTGCCGAACAACGTTAAAATATCCTTGAAAATAAACTTACACGCTGAAATCTCCTCTACGTCATCATCATTATCATCATCAGCAGAAGTAGAAATCGTATCTGTTGGTAATAGTCGTACATTTGGATTGATATTTGCATCATGGAATGGTAGAAATCCAAAGACTAGCAAACAATCTAGAATACAGCCTAAGGCTGTTTCACTTATCATCAAATGATCTACACGCATAGCCTACACAAAGGGAAAAAAAGCAAGAGAATAATACAGTTGAGCAAAAAATTAAAATGAACGAAGTAATCCAACCGTCGTTATCCATAGAAACTGCAAGGGTAGGTGAGCGTTTTCCGTGGAGTTAATCCTTGTTCTACTGCATTCTAATGTCCTTTACAACTCGAAATCATACTTCTGCATACACCTTTGTGCTACTTACTAATAAATAGTAGTGTGATTGCTGTTTTCCCATCAGAACACCGTCTATGGACCCTAGGTTCTCCATTCATTTCAGTTACAATCATATTTCGTTAGCTGTATCTTTCCCACTTTATGATAGTTTTGTGCTCCCTTCAGGTATTCCTGTGATGCTATTTCTTCCCGTGATCTTTTGCCTATATCATGCTTTTTTTGGTTGCATTGTGTTCTCTGAGCTGGGTTGTTCAATCGTGAAGCTTTCATCGTCCTTCTAGACAGTGACATCATCAGCACTAACTTCAGTATGAAGTCAGCTACCTGTCAATATCTCTCCATGAGTGATTTGGTGGCTTGCTATGACCAACTGGTTTGTGATTTGTTGTTTCCTTCGATTGTTGTCTCATTGATTGTATAGACTTTCTTGTTAACTGTTCCTCTCCTTCACCTCTGACCTTTCTATTGTTCATCACTTTTCTCATTGGTTGATAGATTGGATCTATGTCTACACATCTACTGATTGCCGACTGAGTGACCTGAATGGCAAGCTTCTGGGAATTCTCTAATATTCTTTGTGTTTCCTCTCTCCGTCAAAGATCTCTACATTGTCGAAATTGAATTCATGTCCATAGTTATTATCCACATGGGATGTCATGATGTTTAATAACCAATTGGTGTTCATGTAAATGATGAAGGGGAAGAGGGCGACCACTTTGTCCAATGTAGTGTTGACTACAGTTATTGCAGTTGCTTTTGTAAATGATATTCAGTTTGTCTTCTTTGCAGCCAACAGGAAAATTTATGCAGGTAGTCAGTGACACAACAATCGAAGGAAACAACAAATCACAGGCCACATCGTCATAGTAAGCCACTAAATCACTCATGGAGAGATATTGACAGCTCACTTCATACTGAAGTTAGTGCTGATGATGTCACTGTTTAGCAAGACGACGAAAGCTTCACGATTAAACAACCCAGCTCAGAGAACACAATACAACCAAGACCATCCACCTGAGCTACAAATATTTTCCACTATCATGCTTTTTTTATCTTGCTCTGGAGATCAGTAGCGTTTCTCCTCATACTTTCTTATGATTCGCTTTGGATGTAGTACGCTAATCGACACAAACCATGTCTCGGATTCAAGGTACATATACACATACATGCATTCTCAAAGCTGAGTGGCTTAATCGAGAACCATCCGTCGTCGTTCTAGACAACAACAGCGGCAGCACTAACTTCAATACCAAATGTGAGCTACCCGGATTTTTATGTGAGAGATCCACTAGCTAGATAGACGTGACGAAGTTTGTAGATTTATTTTCCGATGAAAATTACAATGTAACAAATTTAAGGTCACATGGTAAACAAAGTGGCAGCACTTTTTTCTCTCTCTCAAAAACACAGCTCGAACTTTAATTTGTAAACTGTTAGTGCTTGGCTTTCGAATAATGATGCAGCCAAACCCTGTCCTGAATCGGTTAAATACTCGACAAGAGTGATGCACAATCGGGATGTGGATTATCCAGAAGAACACTAATCATCTTCCCTGTGAGCGAGGATTTCCGGTGGCCGCAATATGCGTCTTCCCAATCTGGCGTTAGAACAACCATATCTCACAGCAACAATCCTCAAAAGGCTGTGTGACAGGCCTTAACGACATGCCGCATGACTTTTACTGTCACACAAATCTTTTTCTCTTTCAGAAACCCAAGGAGAAATCACCTACCACGGTGTGAGCAGCCGAGAAGTGTCAACCACCCGAATGTTTCCAGTAGTCTGACAAGGTCAGTCATGTGAGAAACTCTCTGACTTCATCACAAACGCCGTGGTAACACCAGTATCACTGATGCTGCTTGCAGATACACTTTACTGTGTGTGATGAAGGTTGGCTAACAAGCCTAAAACCAAGGTCCAGAAAGGACTTCATAGTCACTGACTTCTACCATCCAACACCAAGATACGACTTTGACTAACCACTATGAAGTAAATTGAACAACAGTAAACAACCGTCAATGCGTGCAGACACACAGACACATACACAAATAAATGCAAAAACTTACTGAGTAAAATACATGAATATACTGCAAAGCAAGTGGTAAATCCATTGAACAACAGAGGCCCAATCCCAAGATTGCCTGATTACGAACAGCGACATCTGAATGTTGTATACTCGGTAATATCTGCAAAGACATTTCACACAGAAGTACAAACAAGAATATTACAACAACCTTCACATACTTATTCAAAGTTATTACGTCTGTAAAATACACACATTTTTGCTCATTAAGCATATCAAAATAACAAATGACCTTAGACAATATGAAAACTATGCGCCTGAGAATACAAATAGTCACTCCAACCTTATAAAATTTTTCAAAGCAAAGGACGAACAAGGATATAACCGTAAAATTATCAAAAGTATCAAGGAAGAAGAGGCATATGACTGACTCAAAATTCTACAGCTATTTCCATGTTTCTAGTGTCAACAACCATAACTGTTTCACTGATCCTGAGTTCCTGCTGTTATGGACTATCACTTCTCTGATCATCACTTAGTGAAGAATCAGACATTCTCAACTTGTAGGTTCATTATTCAGTTGATTAAATATTTCATGATAGAGAACAACATAGAACGATGGACTGTGTGGAAGTAGGACTTATCGCCTCTGTGTACACTGAAATTTTCAATAAACGATCATATGAAAAAAATGCATTCAGTAACCTTGTGCACATTCATACAGTGAGCGATGATGGCGTCGGCTATCAGCTACACATTCTAATCTATGTATGACGGCTAATGTTAGTTACTACACCAACTAGCTATTCAAACCTTGATGGTAGGTGGAATGCTGTACGAGTAGAGTCAGTGACCCACTGCTTGGAGGAGTTCAATGACTAAACCCATTAGCTACAATTGCGCAACTTATCACAACGCTAGATTATGCAAAAATCATCATTACTTACTGAGTACATTCTAAGGAGATTGAGATTAAACTATCGACCCAACAAGAAAAGGTAAATAACAACTGTGATAAGAGGTCTGTAAAGACATTTATCAGCCGATGAATGGATACAGAATGAAAAGGAATTGGCTAATAAAACTCCCTATACCACTTCTTTCACTCTTCTACAAAGTGTACAGTGAATAGGCGAAAACAAATCAACGCAACAAATTCCAATGTCAAGAGGTGAGAAACAGATCTTAGACACTTTTTAATTGTCAGTAGACTACCTAGTATGCTTACTAGAACTCTGCTGAACTTTCAAATGCATAGGTAAGGTCATTTATGATGTCCTCTCTGGTCAAGGTAGGGATAAAGGTAGTAAAAATTCCATCTGGATACAGAGCTTTGGTTTGGTGGGATATCATAAAAATCACATTAAACGCTTCCCCTTTGTCCAATAATCTGTGACCACTAGCATCTTGAAGAGACATAATACAGCTTCTATTAAGATTTAACCTGTCCTTTGCCCAGTTTCAGTTTGCCTTTTACATACAGCTGACGCTATAGGAATTCGAATGAACAATGCGAAGTTCTATATTCAGAAGGAATTTGTGTAGCCTTTATCACTGCCTTGGCCAGGGGAAACTTAATGAATAACCTTACCCACGAGTTTCAAACTTCACTTTTTCTCCTTTTATCTTATCTTATTTTGATCACCCCTATCACACCACTACTACATTCACATTAAAACTTTATTTATTCACTGCCTTCAACTTCCAGTATTATGCAACTTTATCGCCCTTTTCCAAGCTTTGATCTACTTTATCTGTCTGTCTGAACAGCTGTTCACACTGTTGTGTTATTCTGAAAATTCGTATTATCCTTTATACTACCACCATTAATTTGAACATTCTCTAAAGTACACACTTCGTATCCTTGATATCGTTGACTCACAAATTATCTTGTTCGGTTCATATTAAACATATAAATGTTGAAAGTTAGGCATATTGAAGTGAAGCCTGGTGAGATCTAATTGAAAACAATATTTTTTCGCCGACATATCTTGTTATAAAACGCATACATGAGTGAATGCATAGCTGTGGCAAACAGATAGAACCCTCCTTAACAATAGAAGTCAATTTAAGACCTAGGTCGAAAGCATCAGAGTCTCACAACTCACTTGGAAGAGCCCCGCTTCATTAGTTCACAGACAACTAATTCAAATCATGTCGCAACCGCAATTTCCTCTTCACATCTAATTACATAATCCGACCCCTAACTAAATGTCTAAATGGAAATCCTCAACTCAACCTGAGAAGTGACTACTACTGACTCGCATCTCTATAAACGATACACAAGACAACCAAATTTACACTCTCTTCATAATTATACAGACCACTACCACCACTACAAATAACAAAAATAACAGTGCATTACAACAAATGAGAACATCTTATATAGAGAGAGTAACAAAAACATAATAAAGCAATGTAAGACACACATACTAGACTATCCAATAATGAACGCAGTGAAGCTGGTAGACACCATAGACTAGGAGATTGCTGTACAATTAAACAAGCCATTCTGTTAGCTTTGAATAATACAGCAGATGAACAACGTTGAAAAAGACTTTCAGCTATGTCTTCAGTTCCTTTGATCTCATCATCACCAGCATGATCAGCATTATCATTACCATCATTATTGGGGAATACTTTACTTTCATTATCCATTTGTTCACCAGTACCCGTTGAAGATGATGGTTTTTCTGTCCTATTGAAGATAACACGAGATATTGTAGAAAACAATACTGGTAGAATCATTTAATGACAAGTCAGACTGGTGAAAATCTTCTTACTTTGTCGAATGAGTAACTGCAGAATGTGCCATCTAATAACATCAAACCAAGCAAATAATATACCATTAAAAATAATACTGACGTCTGCTTCACCCTCTCACGATTCCTTAGTTAACATTTTCACTTTTCATACTTGCTTTGATGGCGGAGCCTAATCACAGCTCTCTACTCAAACTCACACCACCGTATCACGGCTTATCCTCATCTTTGGTGGGCCAGTTTTCACAGGCGTACGGTGAGACTGAGCCAATCGATCCAGTATATACCCATTTCTCTTTCATAAGAAGCTTGGCATTGCAACGGCGCAAAGGTGACCCCGAATAGTGCACCCTGCCCTGCTTTTCCATCAGTCACACCCTGACCAGGTCTCGCACAACTACCCAGGTACACAAACTTTGAGACAACTTCTAGAGATACACTATCAATGTTCGGTGCAGGTATAGATAGACTCATGCCAATCTTATGGACACTGAGCTCTGCGCTAGCTCACCCAGTGTCATTTGAGCAGCCTTTATGTTGCTGCCCAGTAAAAATTCATCACCTGCATAACCAAAGTTGAAGTTTTTTTATCTGGTAATGGATTAAAACTACCACCACCGTCATGAACTTCCTCCAGCACTGCCTCGACTATGTCATCCTCGGCAAAATCTGGAAACACCGACTAACCCCGCCATATTTTTTTGAAAGAATGGATTTGGTCGTTAGCCTTCACTCTACCTCTAACCGTGTTTAGGTACACGGCTATGACAAAGAATGTAAGCAAACTTCTCACCAACACCACTCGTTAACAGACAACTCTGCAGTGCTACCCTGTCGAACGAATCATAAGTAGTCCTGATATGGAAGAATACAGTGGTCATTGGTCTACAATACGTGTCGTAGGGTGAAAATATGATCAATGCATCTAAAACCTGAACGAAACACCCCTGACACTAGTCTCCCGCACATTCTACACAATCTCTGAAGTATGGTAGCTGATAATAACACATAAGATGACGACTATCACATTAGCTACGTAGATACTTTATGTGACAAGTATAACAATGATTTCACTCTAAAGTGATGAAATACTCAGCTTCTCAAAGAATGTAGTCGGTTCCCCAAGATTAAAACAACGGTTGTACCTCGATTCTTTAGAAAAATCAGGAGCCATTTGTCCGGGTCACATATACCTACCTACCTTACAGATCTCAGCTCCGTTAGTTGGATCAGTGTTAACCCACTATCAAGCATAAGACAACACAAGATGTCAATGTATATATAGGTACAGTTTCTAAATTCAGTAATATCATCCCTACACATTATTCATTCACTTAATATCATACTGGAAAAAAGCAACTCACAAGATTGCAACACGTCCGTGTAATTCTTGTAACAATTCTGTACGCTCTTTGTCTAACCTATTAAAAGCATCTCGAAGTTCTGTGGCACGTTCAAATTCTTTGCGAGAAACACAACTGTGTAATGATTCACTGATTTCATTCATACGAACTTCAAGACTAGCAATCTAAAACCAAATCATATTATAAAATGTTTGAAATGCTTAGGCTTTTTTTTTCTATATTTAGATATGAAAATATATAAATAATTAGATATATGCATATTGAATGTAGATGAGTTCAAGTTGATAGTAGCTATGCATAATAAAACCAAATACAAAAAATTCTTTACAACACTACGTTGATTTGTCTAACCTAATCGTCGAATTGCTTAAAGAATTCATGTACACCAACTACTAGTAAAATGACAATCCAACCAGATAATCATGATCAAAAATTCAATTAAGATAAGATGAAAATCATTCGAAGAGCATATTCAAGAAGCTACAAATGAATTTCTAGAAGCATAGCATGCCAACATCCACTCATCTAAATAAACATAGGATCAGGCATTACTTACTGCGTAACGGTCCAACTTGACACAATCCATATCAGTACATCAAGTAAAAAAAGGCAGTCAAAACAAATATAAAGTACTAAAAGAGAGAAATAAAGATTGACATCAGTTCTCAGCCATGTAATCACCTAGAGTTTCTCTTGTCCTAAGAACCCCAACCACCTAGTCTGCACCGTCCTACATGGCTCAAACCAACAGTCAAACACTTCATACACTCAGGCTATGTTTTAGTCTGGCCACCTAGGGCCTTTTTCCTGTCTACACCTACTTCCTCCAACATTGTGTGACAAGGCAATCGGTGACTGGGCATACCTAACATATATCTCGACCATCTCAGTCGATGAAGGTTTACAACCTCATCAATTGACTTAATTCTTCGCCCTAAAACTCTATACCTGATTTCTGCGTTACTAACGTGGTAACACCAAGGAATACAGCCTATACTGCGAAGGTAACGGTGGCCAAACATCTGAAGCCAGCCATCTCATGTTTTCCAACTTCAATGGCCATGTTTCACAGTCATACAGTAGAACAGAGCAGACTGCTGTGCAGTACAAGCGACCCTTAGTAGACAATCGAATATCATGGTGGCGCCACAAGTGGCGTAAGTTGGTGAAAGCCAATCGAGCTTTTTGTATCCGTGCAGGGATTTCATCGGCCACTTAGCCACCAGGGTTGATCCTACTTACCACGTAAGTGAAGTGGTCGACACACTCAACCACTACACTCTCTATTGTTAGCCATGGTATTCCAACAGTAACTCAATCACGTGGATATACAGTCAATCTGCAATCCATTCAGAAAGAAAGTGTGGTGTTATAATTTCTTATTCTCCTGCTCTCTTATTTGGATAGTATACTAGGAACTCAAATAATTGCGTACTTTCAGTGTGAATTTGAAAATGACAATAAATAGTCGAATATAAACTTAAACTTTAAGTAAGGCATCTAAGTCAGTCGGAAAGGCATCCTAGAGGCATCTACGAATACCATGCCAACGAACCCACAACGGTGATCTTCGCTTACAACTTTTCTTCGGACAGTCATTTATTCCTGGCAAATATTAACGACAACCACCGTCTCATTTGGCGTCCATTCATATCAAACCAAAGATGGACACATGGACCATAATAATTTTTTAGGTTATAGCTGAAAAACTGCCGCTTTTTCTGCAGTGCCTTTTTCAACTACGACCATGCATTAGTACCGGTTAGTGTATGTTTACACCTTACTAGTTGTAGGAAACAGCAGTGTAGCTTATGTGTGCTTGATCAGAATATGAAAAGCCTGGTGTAAAATTCAGCCTGTAGTAGAAACAACGATAAAAGATGGCAACCTACATCCGAAGGTTTTTAAAAGCCAGTTGTTATTCCAACCTGATGCCAGAAGACTCCTTTCGAACAACTATGATCACCACGAAGATCCAAACTGACCTAAACTGACCAAGAGTCTTCGTAATGATAGTCAGCAGCGGTGGGTGGCAAGAGCGAGAGAGATGGAAAAAGCATCAGCTTTAGCTATTACCAAGCAACTATTTAAGCATATTAAGGATACCCGCAAGAAGCAGATGATAGTTCGTGAGACCAACACCGAAAACGATGCGATGCTGATAACCTTTATGCTTCAGTTGTCTAGTATCCACAACCACAAAGTGAATTCCACGTAAATGTCGGTCCAACTCCTTCAATTCTCCTAGAAGTTGACAAGTTTGCTTCCAACTTAAAATGATGCAAAGCAGTAGGGTTTGACGGTCTTTAACTGAAGTTATCAAGGAGTAATGCTTGGGGATCAGTAACAGGCATTACCATCAGGTTGATCTACTCATCTAATCATTCCAGCTTATCACAGAGAAGAGTCCTCATGTGATAACCACAATGGACTTGGTAACAGTAAACTCGAAAAAACCAGGCAGCTTTCAGATCCAGACGACGGTGTATCCAGCCAATTTTCACTCTTCAACAGGGTTTGAAACAGACGTACTCATCAGCGACTGAGGTTGATTTGCTCTGCCTGTCAGTCTATCGTTCTTCAAGTACTCGATTGTAAACTGAATCTGCTGATCGACAACTATATTCTTACGAAGTAAAAACCAGAGCAACTTCTATGTCAATCAGTGGTAATGCAACATCGAACGTGCCTTCTCTATAAGTGGTCCTTCGGTAAATTAGCGTCAAATAATTTAGTTAGCAATGAGCGTTGCTGATAAGAACCGATATAAGTAGTATATGTTGAGAGGGTGGCAGAAATCATAGGCAATTACCAGCAATGGATAAGGATTCTGCCCAGAGAAATGCAAGAGACAACGCGGTCGTATTAAGAGCAAATCAAGATAGAAGCCGAAGAGGAAATGAAGCACATTTCATAAATGACTGTCTTAGTGCAAGGTGTACAATATTTGATGACTACTGTTACCACATGTTAATAGTAAACATTCCTTCCTTTGTCTCTGTCTTCTCGTTTCCTTCAATTGGCTTCGCTGCCAAGATCCCGAACACCCATCAGCTCCGCGACCGACTCGAAGTCCCTGAGGAAGACCTCGAACACTGCAAGCCTAGGAGTCTTCACATCCAGCAGCAGCGACACTAAGTGAAGGAAACGAGAAGACAGAGACAAAGGAAGGAATGTTTACTATTAACATCAAATATTGTACACCTTGCACTAAGACAGTCATTTATGAAATGTGCTTCATTTCCTCTTCGGCTTCTATCTTGATTTGCTCTTAATACGACCGCGTTGTCTCTTGCATTTCTCTGGGCAGAATCCTTATCCATTGCTGGTAACTGCCTATGATTTCTGCCACCCTCTCAATATATACTACTTATATCCATTCTTATCAGCAACGCCCACTACTGGCTTAGAACAAAAACGTAGCTACCAAATATACACGGCAACAAGGATACTGATGATGATGATGATGACCACAGCAACAACAATAACAAACGTACCCTCAATAAACAAAACAAACCTTTAAACGTAAATCTAAGTCCTTTTTCTTTGAAAGTGCAGGTTGATCTGTACGAATCTCACGACCTATAGTAGTAGTATCAGTACAACTATTCACCAATTCATTTGGTACAGAGACTGGATTTTGTGGTTCCACTGGATCACATAGCTCACTAATCATTTCAATAACATCGTTTATGCAACGTCGCTACAATGAAGAGAGAGAGGGAGAGAAAAAAGAAAAACTGTTTTAAAAAATGGCGGATTAAGGGGCATAACAAATGCATTGTATGTAGGCAATATACCCAACGCCCCCCGAAATCCATAAGTATATATCTACCTACCTGTGTACAAGGTAACATATGGAAGGTACGCTTCCTGATCATAAAATCCCCTATAAACAAGTTCAATTTAGGGGTCTGTAGTAGTTGATTGATGAGTTTCAAGGTTGTATTAATCACGGAATGATATCAGTGAAAGAACTACTAATAAAGAACTGAGTATTTAGACAGTTGTTACATCTTACTATGGGACTAATTCTACAACAGTATCCATTCATAACCCCAACAAGGATCGAACCCAGAACCAGCACATCACTATTCAAACACCAGACTAGTAAACTCTTACGAGTTAAAACTAAGGCTTAGTGAAAAAATGGTTAGCTTCGTTGTAAAAAGTCTTTACACTAAAATACCAATCAATATGGCACTGGAGGCAGTCAGAGGTCAACTAAGTATTGACTCAGAATTTACTCACAGAACTAAAACATCGGTTGATGAGACTATATTAGGCGTACAGTTGTGCTTGACTTCCATAGGCTTCAAGTTTCAGGACAAAATGTACAGAAAAACAGATGGGGTAGCAACGGGATCACTAATTCTCCAACCGTAGCAGATATATTTATGGGTAGCTGGGAAAAAAATGGCCTAAAAAACGTTTAGTCCCGCACCAAAAAAATGGTGGCGATATGTGGATGACACATTTACTGTGTTCAAATCGGAACATATTCACAATCCCCTCACATATATATAAACTCAGTAGTAGGCGCAATCCAGTTCACTTACAAGGAGGTAGAAAATGAACAAGAAGAACTACCTATGTTGGATTGCAGAATAAAACGAAGGATAGATGGTGGTTCGGATACTACGGTCTACAGAAATCCGCACATTCCAACAGGTATCTAGCCTTCAAGTCATCCAATCCAATGTCAGTTAAGGCAGACTTAGTCAAATGTCTAAGTGATAGAGCTAGGGAAAATGACTAGTCAGTGCAACGACCTAAACAAGGAATCGAAACACATAAAAGAAGCACTAATGGTTAATAATTATCCTCTGCAGTTTATCAAGAAATCCGTACGAACACACAAGAAACCAAATGATAACAGTAACACGAGTACGAATAATAATGACAACACAAATAGAGAGTTCACAGTCTCCATTGTGTTACCACATAAGGAAGGCACATCAGAAACTTTACGTAGGATCCTCAACAGAGCTGGAATTAGGGTGGCATTTAAACCTACAAACTAACTCACAGATAAGCTTTGTCAGCTGGTTTAAGGATCCAATAGAACCAATTAAGCAAAATAATCTAATCTATCAAATTCCATGTAATGACTTTGAGTCAGGTCAAGTACATAGGTCAAACTAATCAGCTGGTCACGATCAGTTAGAATAGCCAAACATAGGAATTTAGCTAAATATGTCAAATGACAGACCCGAATAAGATCAATAATCTAGAAGAAAACTCGGCTATTGCATCGCACGCATTAACACATAACCACACAATAGGATGGATGGGATAAAACCAATGTACTTGAGTCCAATATAACTAGGTGGAGAGAGTGAGGGATTGATTACTGAATCTTTGTTCATCGAATCAACAGCAACCAACACATGTGATAGAAATGACGCAACACCCATACCAGATATACGGAAGATTTTACTATGAATAAAAACAATCGTATGAGGTGACAGGACTATTAAAGAACCAGATGTCGAAAGTGGAGTGTGATTACATTGATATGATTATGAGCGGTGATAATTTATGCTCGAAACGTTTTCAAGTAAATAATACTGTAACACTCATTATGTGTTATAAATCAAATAATGTAGAATTCAATGGTTTACAATATTTTCCTACTTCCACATACCCACGAAATAGCGCAAACACCACATAATGCCACCAGCGAGTAACTGTCCTCATGGCCGATTTGGTTAACTCCACATATCACAGCTCATTAAGGCTTCGTGAAATTCATCTCGGAGCATTTCATTAATGAACAGTAGACAGTAATCTAATTCGGGTTTGTCAGGATTTATTGGCTTACTGATTCCAGGTTCTGTGATGAATACTATCTAGAGAGAAGATATTCGTTTGTACTGTAATGTCAGCACATTTTACCTGAGCTATATTGTGTACCAGAAAGAATTCAACTGTCTAATAACCGAAGCAAGCTGTCTTCCACAGTAATATGACTACAATTTGCCATATATGCACATTTCTCCTCTTCTTTTTTCAACTTAGTCGTCGTAGTTCATCTGCGTGATCAACACATTTCATGCTTCAATGAAGAGATACAATTCATCAAGTGATTTCTTTTACTATCTAAAGACAACAAAACCGTCTTGTCCTCATTCCTAAGGCTTCGAAATTCAATCAATATTGTAATATGATCCAAGTCTACGACTCTAGTTTAGGGCACCGTTCACCTTTCGCACTAATAGACGTAGTTGAGTATCGTCAGTCAATAGGTATGAAATGTAGGTGCTTTCGAAATCCACTTACAAGAATACTCGGAACAGAAACAGCATGAGTTTCTACAATAACTATAAACGTCTGTCTGTCTTACTGAGGAATGAGTGGATGGATATGCGTCGATACTGAATAATCTTAGACAAACAACTTTCATTCTTTGGATACATTTTTAATCAATCCCTTTGAACATTGAACGTATAGAGTTGCACAGAAAAACAAACCAGCCAACTAGACGAACTAACGTTGAACCCGGCAAACAAGTATATTGGTTCAAGTTGACCCACTTCAGAAGAACATCTAAAGAAGAAGTGGATACGGCAATGTAGGTTAAATGAGACTTGAACTAGTGATCAAATGCATTTCTCTGCATTACACGACATAACAACAATGAATCGGTAGTATACAGAAAACGCTAGACTAAAATTCAAGTGACTGGTCATTTTTTTTAGGTTGGTGAGATACTGTTGTCTTGTTTATTCATTGATATCAACCACTTAGTATTTTTACGGATCGGAAAAAATTGTCTGTACAACACCAACTAACAAAACACCACCCTATTCTTCAGGTGTGTACCAAATATAGCGAATTCAAAAAAGGCTAAACATGATATATTCCCTGAGTTTTTCAGACGGAAAATAATTATATTTTGCAATTGAAATTTTTCCCCACACATTGCAACACAACAACAGAGGACTAAACTCCTACTTCATCTTAACACAGGCTGAAATAGGTGGGACAATACGTGAGTTCTCCATTTCACCACCTAGCCATCATCAAGCAGAAAACATTCAAGTGGATCTTGAGGAAATATTGATGCGTCCGTTCACGAAGAGGCCCATGGGTCACAACAACAGACCAATTAATTCGGTCCGGTATTTCAATCAACGGGAAAATTACGAACACTGGTCAGTAATAAATTATACCCACCACACAGCTGGTGGTGGTGGCTTTCATAACTCCGTAGCGGATAACTCTCTGTCATGCTTGGTTCCACACTCAGTAGGAACAAAATCACCACCCACTGGGATGCAGGCACACCTTGTTGACGAGTGAGCGAGTCACAAATAGGATGAAATGCGCGTCTAGCATTTCATTGTCAGCCACCAGGAAGTTAATTTCATCATAATATAATACATCAACCAGCCAGCTCATAATCCCGTCAAGAGATGAATCCCTTCGCTGCTTCAGTATAACATCAATAACCAACGCGAAATTAAAAGTATCAATAAATGGTACAGTGTTCCAAAACAACACTGGATGATTTTCTCATACATAAAACAGAAAAGAGAAACTAACCGAACTTGGTTCTAAAATCCCATATAACTTTAACAATTGGGGTGCCAATGAACCCGACACTTGCTGACTAGTTATCCATTCACGAACTAACAATACAAGACGTCTTCGACCGAATTCATCGCTAAGATCAAGTGAACTCGCCATAGATAGAATTTGTTCAACTATACACTCTTGTTCAATAGCCTTTTCATCAAATTCTTGTGCAAGAACAGTTTGAACAAGTTTTTCTACAACACTGAAAAAACAATGAGAAAAGATTGATTAATCAATCGTTTGAAATTACTTTACAACAATGAGTCAATACCACTTTGAGAGATTACATGTACAACTAAATGGTCGGTTAGCAGCAAAACTAAGAAATTGTATGAAAGTGTGGTGCCAGACAAAGACAGACAACATCAACATAGGACATGGTATTTACTGTGTAACAATTCAACTTACCAGACCTCATTTCATTACATCATCAAGCAACAAAGCACCAAGGTAAAAGATAAAGAAATAGTGAAGAAGGTAGTCACAAGTGATAGAAAGTTATCAAAAAAGAGGATAGAAGGAATGAGAAAATACTGGAATTCAGTATGACGATTAATATGAAAATAGAGAGTCCGGGTAACATCTGCGCCACTGACACCAATTCTAAGCTGTCATCATCTAAGGTCTGTGACCACTGGTTACTGTTGTGTGGTGTATACGTAACCGGGAAACCTACATTTCTCCCCATGGCTTACACCAACAATCAAAGACTCCATGCACTAGTGATATATCTTGGTCTCATAGTGCACTCATCAACCTCGTGCACATTCGTGCACAAGCCAATGAGCTACACCTATTGTGTAACGGCTAGTGATACTACCTCGCTCCCCGAACCTCGGTAGGTGAAGCGGCGTTCGAGCCCGCGACCTTATCATCAATAGCATCATCATCAAGATCAACATAGGGCCAACCATTACTGCATAACGGTTCAAGTTGCCACACCGCGATCGTATGGTCGATAGTCATCTCCCCTAACTACTCAGTCTTTGTCTGGCCACCTCTAACCGTTTTTCAGTCTGAACCTCCTATTTCAGCTAACATTCTGCAATAAGGTAGACGGTAACATGTGTGATACATGTCTCAGTCACTGAAGGTCCAGAACCTCACCAAGTAACTTTCCTCTCCTCTCTTGGAACTCTACACCTGACTTACACATTACTCATGTGTTACATGACAGGTGTGACACACAGCCCATTACATAAACATGCTGGAACTGACACTGACAAAATCAATGTAGAACCTCACACACAGGTGTATTGGTTCAAGTTGCAGTACTTCAAAGTAGTATCCAAAGAACAGATGCATGATATCAAAGTAAACTAAGTTGTGACAGAATAAACGATTTGAAGATTAAGGTTGTCGTAAATATTAAAGCCACAGAAGACGCCAAACAGTGAATACATATGCGCCAGTCACCGATTTTCAGTCATTTCCCAAAGAGTTCTCAACCAACGATTCCTTGCGTCGCTAACCAGATAGTCTACATCGCACCACACGACTCAGACCAATAGTTGGGTACATCATCAACTGGTGTCATGTCTTGGAATGGCCACCCTGAATCCTTTTCCAATCTAATCCAACTTCCCCTAGCGTTGCACATCGAGGTAGACTGTGGATTGGGATGCGTAGTGTATGTCCAAGCCATCTCAGTCGACTGAGGTTCACAACTTCATCAACCGACCTGCCTGTTTTGAAAAGTACCTTCCGCTTGACAATCAAACGCTAGCAATGTTACGACACATCTGCAATCAAAATACTGTAATCTTTTGATATCTCATGTCTCAGTCACACAACAGGACAGAACGGGCTGCAGCGCAATATACTCGCCCTTTGATAAATAGTCAGATATCTTGCCAGTTGGCGACACAGGTGACGCAAGTTGGCCTTCGATTTGAGATATCGTAGGCAAAAAGCCCGTTCGAGCTATAAACATGCACCTGTTTGCGGACAGCAACTCAAGACATCGAATTTCTTTTCTCTCCGTCAGTATAATGCATATAACAAACCTTCCATTTATTGTCAGTAGTTAGAGAACAAAAATGTTCTATTATAATAATATTTGGTAGCAGTGACACCAGTATGCGCACACATACAATACATCTCAGCTTTAACATGTACCTTACTTTCACACTTAGACGCCAATGCTGTTGCCATAATGAAGAATATGGGCACTTTAAACACCCGAGTCTAGATGAATGCACAAAGTTATGAGTTACCGTGGTTGGTACTAACAGCTCACGATCACAACTGTAACCCAACAACCTCATGAAGATTCAAGTGTTGGAACCGTCATACTAAGTGGCTGGTTGGCTCGCCGGTAAAGCCATGTTCAAACCTGACTCATGGTTTTAGAAGTCAACTGTCTATTCCAATGAAGCAGGCAATTTCATTTACTTCCTGAACTAGACAAGCGTACCATGGTGCCATACAGACAAACGCTGAAACTTATGACTTACTGAATGAAAGCTTAGTAATTCCACCAATTCCACTGAGGTGATTAAACTTCCATTCATGCATAACAAACTCACCAATTTATCGCTGTAACCACTTATTACGGTAACGAAAGCTAAATGTAGTACCAGTATCAGATGTCACTGGATTTTTTTCTGATTCGACTGTGAAGGCTACGGATAATTACTACCTGGGTCCCCAGACCACCGGTAACTGAAGTGGGATAAAAACACACGACTCATCAGAGGAACTTCAAGCGGCTAGACCAATGAGCTATAGCTCAAAAAAGATGTGTAAACCAACCTTTTAGCCAGATCAACATACGCACTAACAGATGGCTGAACTAAATCAGCCAATAACTGTAATGCATTGGATTCTTCGCCATCGTCGGGATCTTCATTGGGCACCAGAGCGTTGTTGCCTACTCCACTGGTATTTTTCTCTTTCTTGACAATAAATTCAACTAGAGCCCGCCAGAAAAATGTCCCCTCAGATGTAAGACAATCAGCTTTGAGAGTCCGAGTACTAAAAAAATTAGTTGTTAAAAAAAGGTAGATATAACATTGAAGGCAAAAAAATATAACCACATTTTCCCAACAGGAAAACTAACTTCACAGAATAAGTGACAACGAATAAGTGTCGAACCTACTGCATATGCCTGTGATATCCAAAGCTCATCACTGGTGTCTTACTAATGTACACAAAGGATTTCATCATAAAGCTGATTTGGAAAGCCATGATTCCAACCCTACAGTAAACACGATCTGGAGAAAGGGAACAGTCATGCTTTGTACTATCAGCAACCATAAGAATTCACCTTCTTATAGTATTTTATTGCTTTTTAGATTTCACTAACAGTCAACGATTCGAAGTAGGAGTGGCCTCTGTAAACAATCGCACGAACAATGATATGTGTATACATATGCCAGCTCAATGAAGAAATCTGAGTCGTGTACCTAGCTCGATAACACGATCAGATCTAGTTAAGCAGAACATATCGCTATATCAATACATGAACGTGATCATTTTTACTTCCCCTTGTGGTAGTGTGACAACAAAGATGACTACAAGAGAAAGGTAGAAAAATCCCTTTCCTAAAAAGCTAAATTCAAATACGAATTTGATTACCATATTCTTTTCTCTGAGCTGGATGGATGAATTGCAAAGCTTTCGTCGCCTTTCTAGACAACAACACCATCAGCAGCAATAACTTCAGTACGAAGAGTGAGTTGTCAGCATTTCTCTATCGTGAATGAATCTGTGATCTCTTCTGACAAAATCCTATATGATTGGCAGCTCCTGTTAATTGGTGTGTCAGATTTTCATGTTGGATGTTTCCCTGCCTCATTTGTGACCGCGTAGTTCATCATTTTTCTTATTGCTTCACATATCTACACACCTACTGATTGCTGATTGACATCAATGCCAAGCATCTAGGAAGTCTCTGGTATTATTTGTGTATTGTCTGTCCAACGCATCTACACTTTCAAAATCGAATTCACGTCTATGGAGGTGTGCACAAGCATCAGTGACAAAATGTCACGACAGTCAATAGCCAACTGATATTCATGTAAATTAAGGCGAAGCGGGTCACCACATGGTCCAATGTAGTGCTGATAGCAATTGTAGTAGTTGATTTCGTAAACAACATTTGGTTTGTCGTCTTTTGCTGTTGTTTCACTTCGATTAGCACTATATGGTCTGAAGTAAATCTATTGCTTTATCTAGCTTAAACCCCACTACTGCTGTTTCGACGCGGAACACTGCAACTATGTATGCCCAACATATATCTCAGGTATCACAATCAACGAAGGTTCACAGCCTCATCAACTGACTTGACTCTCCTCCCTAAAAATCTACATCTCACCTACACACTACTCAAGTGGTGATCAGGACACAGTCTATGCTATACAGGTAACAATGGTACAATTAAATCACGCTAATAATGGGAACAACACCCCAAAATAATCAAAAAAAAGTAACCCACTGATACACAAGTAATGAGTAAGCTAATAAGAGGGAAGATAGAAACAGACACTTACTCAGGATTCAAATAATTTGCTGACCAGTCCTCTACAATTTTGACTAGTTCATTCAATGATAAGATTTCGAAAAGACTATCTAAAGCATTCTGACTTGCTGCCGGATCACCTTCAGGATCCAATCGTCTTAAAAGTTGGACTGGATCTCTATTCGTTGCATTAAACCAAGACAAAACCAATTGTTTAGCTGCTTTACGAACATCTTCTGCAAACCAATAATTAATAATAACAATAATAATGATCACAAGATACATACCAGAACCTCAGAAGAAACAAAATGCAAGAGTTATTACTATTAAAGAACTATGACACAAAGCTACACTACAAAAGATACTGCTATCTGCTTTCAACTTGTCACACAAGTGAAGCATACCAACATCAAACACAAAACGGAAGTGTTCCTTCGCAAAATAGCAAGCGCGACCTTCATCCAGTGCCTTCGTTGAGTATTGATTCTCATGTTCAACGTAGCTTTCCTCACAGGTCACGATTTCGCATTAGAACTACAGGAAATTTCATTTTAAAGCATGTCAACTAATCAACACTTGACAGTAATTCAGTCTGGAGGTTTGTGGGGATTTGATTGATAGAAGTAGTGAAATAAAGACTAATCAATTCTAACCCAGCGGCTAAATAGTAACATGCTCATTGCAAATCTGAGGGTTTTGGACTCGATCCTTAGAAGAGTCAAGAGTGAATACTGCTGAGGAGTTCTATATTAGTGCTCCTAGGTTTTCAGTACTTACCCAACTGATGTTGCTTCGTGATGAATACCACCTTAAAATCTATGACAGTTTCCACAATTGTGCACATTCGTACAATAGATCATAAGTAACACCCATTACTGTAGGGGCTGACGATGCTGCCTGACTGCTCAAACCTCGGCAGGTGCAGCAGATTTTCAACTTGTGACCCTAATGACTGGTTGAAAGCCAACTGCATAGACTATTAAGTTACAACTCTCCTTGACATTGTCCTAATTAACCATAACAGTTCAGATCAAGAATGTCTTAATTACTTTACGGTTTGATGTTATCTTTTCACCTTAAATTTTCTTGCTGCTAACATAAGTGGAAGTCCGTAGTGTAAATTGATTGGTCACCGAACAGTAATCAATTTCATATTGTCTAGGCCCTGAGTACCGAGTACATTCCATCAATTATTTCGCAATGTGACCAATGTGACTAACCATCATAGTACACTTCGATAGAGGTTAGTTGAGTGGAGGCAATCGGCAGGAAGTCCTATTCGACACAGGTTAAGTGCTTGCTGGCGCTCATCAGCAAGGTGTCTGAATTCTTGAGGGAAATAATAGTGTCAGCTCCAGGACTCGAAGCAATGTCATCCAATGCTCCAGTCACTCGGCTAATCTGGCAGCAATTAACCTTCTTTGGGACTGCATTAAATAGATTGGTTGCTTTATCGTCTGTGACTGGAGGGTAGTTAAATACAACTATCATCATATTAAAGCTTGGGTAAGTGGTAAATTTGATGAGTTTGTATGCCAAATGTTGTGCCCTACACCTATGACCGGTGGATAATTTGATTCACCAAATACAACTTGCCTCGTTACACCTCAATAGGCAGTGTATGGCGTGGAGTCTGTGACTTAGTGTGACTTCTCCAGGGGGTATCTGAACTCAATATGCATTTTGCCAAGAGTACCAGAAAAAGCCCATGGAAGATCAACTTGATACCTGTTGGTCATTCAGCCTGTTAAGGACTGATGGTATGCTATTGTATCACTGACATACAGAAAAAGTCCATACCACAAACACCGAAAGATTGTAGGGTAGAGAGGAGTGTGCTATTTGAGGGCTAACCTTTTCTAACCCTCGCACCTCCCACCGGCAAGTCAGCATCACCACGGTACTGCTGCCACACCTCATCCAGCCAGCAGCACGACTTTGTCCCCGGACGACCATTATACAGCAAAAATTTACACCATAACAGTAACTGCTTTTTGTCGAAAAATACCACCATCCAACAAAAACTTCTAGTAGGGTAGGACTTAGAAGGTACAAGCGTTCCAGCCAGTATAGCTTGTCGAGTCACTGTGATATGCAAGTCCAACCACCACTTCGCGTCAAGGTAACAGTTATCCGTCGGTATTTCATCGCTGAATGTTCAAAATCAGTAAGTTGCAGTCACAGTTAAATGAACTCAGGTCACGTCTTAAAGTGAATCCGAAATTTACCAAAAATATATGACTTTCAGGTTCGATCACCAAGACATTGTAGAATACTGAAGCACATATAATCCAATAATAAATATTACAAATACCTGATACATCTGACAATCCGAACTGCAGAATACGAATACGATTCGCAATTGACAAAGGTCGCAAAATAGCACGAGAAGATAAAAGTTTGTAAGCAGTACGGCGCACACTATCAGCGACATCCCGACAACGTTCCACAAGAATTGGTAAAGTACGTGTGGTCAGCACCATTGCTGCTAAGCCAGTACGTCTCACCTCAGATGCAGGATCATGACGTGTAAGCCACATAAGTGCTTCTACTACAGAGCATTCAGCATCAGTAGGGTCCTGCATACGTGAAATTCCCTGAATTGCCTCAACACGAACACAAACCTAGAAAAATATTAATACAAAGCAAAACAAACCACAGTTTTTTTCCTGCTCTAAATTACAAGTTAGATTGGAATGTGGTAAGAAAGCGATAGTATTTGCTTACTACTGCTAGCATTTCCCTAATGGTGGCTACATCAGCAACCGTTATTGATTAATCACAATGGTGAGGGTTGTATCACCTTTCCTGGTCAAGTGAAAGGATCTTCAGAAAGTCACTAGTGAATTCCTAAACCTGCCGTTTACGCAGTGGTGAAAGAAGGCATGATACTAAGCAGAACAGTGTGTGAGATACGGCTGGTCTAAACGGGTCATAACGAACTTCGAGCAGTCGATGACCTACACGTTAAAGACGTAACAGTAGATACCAGGGACTGTAAAGTGACTTCCATCAGTAGGTGTGAACCGTCCTCATATACGACTAATAAGAAGTTCGCCTTATAATCAGTGAAGTTAGACCAACCTGAGATCGAGGAAGAGCTGAAAAACAAAATAGCAGGTGATAATCTATGAGCATAAAAATTCAGGAAGCACATCCTAAGGTAATACAGATGAAACTGTCTAATCGCTGTACAAGAGACGAGTAGGAAAAATTATTTATCGCTCTGCCTATCGAAAACCCAGAATTGACGAATAGTATACATGATAATTGACATTCTGTTCACTAGAGCTAACAAATAATAACATTATTACCAAGTTATGTTGAAATTTACTTAGTGGCTAGCAGTGGAATCCACGACGCATATTTCGTCCTATTCGGAGGCTAGTCAACGGGAGGTATCTGAACCCCAGTACTGGGCTCATGTCTTATGTATCAGTTTGAATGCATAAAGTAATGGTTTCATCGGATTGTTCATGTTAATCTATCGTCAAATACCATAAAATCGAAACGAATACTTGTTATCTGGTCTCAAGCGGTTATCACGGTACTCCAGAACTTACAAAGCAGATTCCTTCAATTCTAGGAAGTTTTGACAAGTCTATTAGGATTCTGTTAACAATGTCTACTCTCCAAATTCCTCTTCAAGTGTGCCATAGGCGACTTATCCAAGTCTCCTCTTTTCTAGTCTGACTCGATAAGAACTAACTTCATCATAGGAAACTTCTTAGAAGAGGTAGAGCAGCCAGCCGGGAAGCAGTCCTTCAAGGTGAAGTCGCTGAGAAGATCCAGTCTTCTGGATACTCTAAGTGGCATTTTGATAATATTCAAGAAGCATTTTTCATCCCTGTAATGCAAACTTTTGCTTCAGGACTGATCTTAACTGATGCTGTATCAAACAACAATAGGGAGTGAGGTGGTTGAACGCGATGTCCACTTTATTCATTTGGGTAGTCGGATCAGCAACCGACAAAGTTGCTATACACCTGAATAGACGCGTCATTTATGCCACGTCCTCCGGAATCATACTAACACATGAAATCACACATTCATTACAGAAAATAGGTCTAGCCAAGTTTCTACGAGCACAGACTACCAATAATGAGGCTTGTCTGTATGGTTTGAATATGCAGCTGCAGTACTGCATAGGTGATTTCATCACATAAATTTAGATTGCTGATAAACAATTTATGATGAAATAAACTGACACAGAATCCATTCATCTTCGTGTGGTAGAATTTCAAGTTAAAATCAACACAGTATATCAGAGATGACAGAGCAAATTATACTGACAGCTCGACCAAGTTGCTTTTCGTTTATGGTTGCAAAAGAACTGTGGCTCATCGGTCTAGCAACTCGACTTTCAGTTACGGATTCGAACTCCACTCAACCACAGAGATCTGAGTAGCCAGGTAGTAAGCACCATTAGCCCTCACACAATACTTGCGTGGCTTATTGACGACTGCAACACTATGCATGTGCTTGCTCAGTGCACTTCGATCCCAACGAAAAAAATCGATTATCAGCGACAACACGCTTCAATTCATGGAGTTGTATTTCACCAACCTTTGTCAGTAAACAAGCAGTCCATTGAAGACTTGGGTATACAAATTGTGGGAAATATTTTTAGCTCACGGTGTCTGGCACGGCACAGACGTCTCTTTGTCGAATAAGAATTTCTAGCTTATAGAGCAACTTGACCTGAATATATTCGTAGCATAAACTGACTTTAGTTTGTAACCTCTCAATCTTCTAATAGCCAAAACGACAAAATTAACCTGCCAACTACTTGTTCCTTCAGCTTACAATATCACTACAGTCTAAAACAAGTGGAGAAAGTCGATATCCATATCGATCTGTTGATTCTTCCCAGTGTAATTTTGTTACATTAGAATTGTGAAGACCTGATCGAGTAGAAATGGTCACATGCCTATGTACTTATTTTCTATACAACTGTTAGGCACAATAGCTTCCGACCAACATGAAATTATAATTTAAACACTAGTACCTGTCTCACTACCCTGTGAGTGCAGCACTGATACATAACAAGGACATTACGCACGACTGACCCCCAACTGCCCCTTGAATCTTCCCCCCACCCTCCTATTCCACGCTGATTTTTGTGAGACTGTTCTGCAAAATGATACAAAAATGTGAGGAATTTGTCGGCAATATACTTAACACTATACTGCAGAAAATCTATGTCAAAAAGACAGACATAAAATTAACGTAGAATTTTGCACAAAAGTGCATCTGTTCAAGCTGCCACACTCAACAAGTTAGTCTGCAAAAAACAAGTGGACAAAGTGTGTGGAAGTAATTCCATACTAGATCACGTTAGATCAGTTCAAGTCTAATTCCTAGATTCGCTTATGGCGGTGACTGAAATCAAAACCCTACACCGAATTCACTAGCATACCGTATCTCTCTCTCTCTCTCTCTCCCTCCCTCCCTCCCTCTCTCTCTCTCTCTCTCTCTCTCTTACAACATATCTGTTACAAACATTTATGGGGAGGTTACGCGGTAAAAACATGAAATTGAAATCGCTTTGTCCTACATATTTTAAGCAACATACACTCACACATAAAAATGATGAAATATGAGAATTTATAACTCAGGGTGAGGATGACAATAGTTTGCTGTTTTGTTAACTCTATTCGACACAATCAAGAAGTCAAAGCTGAAACAGCACTAAACTATTGCAGAATTACTTCTGTCTGTTTGAGGTCACTGATTTTTGACATAGTGATGTTACTCATGCAGAGTAGTGACCGAAGGTGAAATAAGTAATAATAAGAATGGGATCATGGTAGGACTGGAACCATGAATCGATTTCTGGGGTTTTACTAGCCCAGTGTTCTATCGACTAGAAAAGCTACAAAAACCCACCAGCTGACTATGGATACTTTTAGAAAAGGATTTAAGTAATAACACTAACCTTGGTATCAAAAACACGGCGTAATAGCACACTTTGCAGTTTTTCGTATAAATCCTCAGGCATTACCCCATTGTCTCCGATACCATCAAGTAATTTGTGAATAATTTGTGTACACCGAAATCGCACAGCAGCATTTAAACAGTCATTATACTAATTGGAAGGCAAAGAAAGAGAATAATAGTGACAGTGGACTATACGAACAGTAATATTCGAAAACTATTTGAGAATAAAATCAGTATCACAAACTTGTTCCACGCATACACAAATACCTATTCGCTTTAACTTTTCCTTCACAAGACTTATTGAGACTCATAAAAAACAAAAACACCTGTGGACCACAAGATAGAGTTTATGAGGAGACAGTGAGTAGCACCATCAACAACTATTGACGAGCGACCAAGATCTTATCAATAAATGATGGTTCACAAAACTTTTGTCCCGTTTCTTCTGGTGCGCAATACCAGAACCCCAGTTAGATGAAGGGTTACAATTGTTACTCTCCCCAAGTAGTAATTTGGGAATTTTCGGGATGCGTTTCTCAACACCCAAACGTGAATTTATGCTCTAGGACTGGTCTTAATAGATGGTTTGTTTAACAAAAGGCAGTTAAACGGTAGAGTGCACTGATGGCTTCAACCACATAGGTGCGTTGGTTAGAGGCCGACGGAACCTCTGTAAGGATACAAAAGGCACGTTTACCACCTAAGGCGCCGCAGCCGTGATATCTGATTCCGTTAATGGTAGACTGTACTGCGCTGCAGTTCGCCTTAGTCTACCATACGATTGTGAAACATGACTACTGAATGTAGAGGATAAGATAAAGCTCCAAAGGTTCGACCACCGCTGGCTTCTTAGCACAGGCCGTGTCGTGGTTTCACCACACAAGTAATGTAGAGGTTAAGCGTAAAGTTTTAGGTCAGAGATATAGCCAGTTGATGAGGTTGTGAACCCTTATCTACGGAAGTGTCTAGGACGTGTTACACTCGCTTGGTCACCGCGTGCCTCATACAATGTTTACTGAAGTAGATGCAGGTTGAGAAAAAGCTAGAGGTGAGAAGAACAAATCACAACATATCAGTGCATGAATTTTTGACTCCTGGTTCGATTAGTGTAGGGTAATAGACAGACAAACAAAATCAACGTACAAGTCGTCACACTTCACAGTAAAATACAAAGAACAGGTGGATAGAAAAAGTGATATCAAAGTAAACTGAGTTGTGACAGAATGAACGATTTGAAGATTAAGGTTGGCGTAAATATTAAAGCCACAGAAGACGTCAAACAGTAAATACATCTGCGCCATCATCGTCGACTTTCAGTCATTTCCCAAAGAGTCCTTAACCAAAGATTCCTTTCGTTTCAGGGTCTCCAACCAGGTAGTCTACACCGCTCCACACGACTTAGGAACTTCATTGACTGCTGTTGGTCTTGGTCTGGCTACCCTCTTTCAACGTAATCCAACTTCTCGTAGCGTTGCGCGTTGAGGTAAACTGTGGATCGGGATGCGCAGTGTATGTTCATGCCATTTCAGTCGACTGAGGCAGACAACCTCATCAATCGACTTGCCTGTCTTACCCAGGACCCTACACCTGACCTCAACATTGCTCACACGGTGACTTCAGCGAATGTGAGTTATGAAAACATCTGTGACCGCTTCACGTCTTCTATTTACAACGACTATCATAGCCGTATTAGCAGGATAGAAGGTACTACAGCGCACTATACTTGTCTTTTGATAGACGGTCGAATATCTCTCCAGTCAGCACCGAAGACGTCGCGAGTTGGCAAATGTCAAGCCGGCATTGTGCATCCGAAATGAGATTTCGTCACCAACCAGCCCGTTCAACCTCGTGCAACTTCCTAAATAAGTGAAGTGGTACACATATTCCACCACTTTACTCCCTATCATTAAGCTGGGAGTCGTCGTAGGTCAGTTCTGGAGCATCATCTTACATTTGACAGGTGCGAAAAGTATGCCAAATATATACAGATTTCTGCTCAACGCGTTTAGAAGACCCTGTATTTTGTCAGCATCTTCACCTAGCAGAACGTAATCGTCTGCCTGTTCCAAATCAAGCAGGTGACTTCCAAAGAGTAGATCAATCCCTGTGAAGTCAGACCTATCGAAGGTGGATTAATAGGTTTATCACGAAGTTAAATAAAAATGGTGACAGCGGACATCCCTACCGGATACTAGTTGTCGTCAATTGTGATAACCCTATAAGCCCTGCCACGACTGCGTGAGTTTGAGCAGAGTTTTGATTAACGTTGCATACTTGTTCGGTACTTCCTTCACAGTCGGACACTGCCAAAACTCACAGTCGACTGAGTCAAATTCCGCCTTCATGTCAAGAAATATGGGAAGTGTCGACCGCAGGTGTGTTCCAAGACCTGTTGGAGGGTGAAAATATGATTGATGCACCCACGACCAGGTCTGAAACCTGCCGGATTTTCTCAAGTTTGCTGTTCTCGAACCACAGATGGGCAAGGGATTTCTATGGCCCCAGGATCTTTGACACAATATTGGTCAAATTAATTCCACTATGGTTGTAAGATTCCTAACCCTTCTTGAAGACTGGGATGATCAATGAAGTGCACCAGTCTGATGGTACTACCTAGTACTTCTATCACTTTAAGCAGCGATTTCCCACCTCCATGCTTGGAAACTTCAGGTGTCAGATGCAACTTTCTTAACTTCAAGGAAAGTTGGAGGACTGACAACTACGTCTGATTCAGCTTCACGCTGGATGTTAAGTAACTGAAGCGTTGCTAAGGGCCAGTTGAACTGTGTTTCAGTGTAACTCGTTGGGTTATTGTGATATGCAAACCCGACCACCACGTCAAGGTAGCGGTTGTCAGCCGCGTGTGAGGGTGATGTAGACTTTCCAGTTCCGGTGGAGAACTCCAGGTAATGAGATGGTACAATCGATTTCGACGGCATAGATGTATCAAGACATCTTTATCCTAATCGTCATACCAATTTTCAGTATTGTCTCGTTACTCCTTGCCCACTTCACGAATTCCTACAACTTCTGACTGCTGGCTTCATTTATTATCTTAGTGTGTTCATATGCTGATATAAGGTGTGACGACTTGGACCGTTTGTAGCAACACCACGTTTTATGCTGATTTTGTCTGTTCATCTGTCTGGAGAACTATTGATTCTACTATCTGAAACGTGCTAGGCGACTGTACGTGCAAACTCTAGTGTGGTATTTATTCAATAAGATACAATATATAATGATTAGTTTATAACGATAAATATAAATTTTATGAATGCACGATTGACAAGGTCAGAAAAAACATACCTTAATACAAAACAGAAAAAGTTTCAATAACAGACGATTATTCACCGCATCTTGATCGTTATTCTCATCTGATTTCCCACAAAAAAGTGCGAATTTTGTAATGAAGTCAATTGTTCTCTCTCGATATGGTGACCGTTCACCAGACACCAAACTGTAGCGACAAAGCTCAAAGAAATCATCAGCAAAATGTGTGAAGCGCATCTTTAAAATAAAATAAAAACAAGAAAGACCCAAGCCATTATAAAGAATACAGAGAGATTTTTTGAGATCCCGGTAACGCTAACGCTAAATGTCTACATCTAGTGGAAATAACCCAACCCAACACACGAAAGAGAAGCATATTCGGGAGTCACACTAAAAAACGAATGGAACATTACAAAGAGATTTCTCTCTGCTATGCAACAAACTGAAATAGTACATGAAGAAGCAGATATCTGAAACTGGGTTACGAGCGATGATATCAAAAGTATACCTACCACACAAGGAGTCCTCATCATGACTCAGTAACCTTGAGGATAAACCTCTAGGCTTTCGAGTGGGATCCTTATCACACACTGGAAGGTAGATACACCCACCTGATAAGTCCCAGATAGGACAAAACACACACCCGACTCCCACCACACACAGTCCCCTAGTAGCCACTATTCATCAATACTGACGAGTTGCAAATTTAGTATACGGTTGGACATGCTAACAATGTGAAAAACAACAAGAACCGCTCAAGTTTACTGAGTGACTACAGCAATGAAAACCCCACAGAAAAACATATCACAACCGCAAAGCAAAACGAGATAGAGATATCCAAATAACGGAAAATATGGACAGAATGCATGTTGCATTTATTCAATGTTAGTCATCATCAACCTACTCATGAGTAGATCATATTTTCTCAACACATTTTCTGCCAACCGCTTGTTGTCCGTGTTTTTAAGTAACCATTCACTTTCGTCTGATTCCTGGATAGGATGAGTTAATTTACAGTCGTATTAGGCATATCATCTTTATCTTCTGCTAACAATAGCTTAAGTGTATGCTGTATTACTGTTACATTAAAGCTCCGATAACTACTAGTTTCACATACTACTAACTGTTAATGTTGTACAAAAAAGCGATTCACCTGCATCAATCCATGCGAAGCTTATCATAAAGATTAATGAAGTGCTTAGGATTTTTAGGAAGACAATGGGTAGGTAATACTTCATGAAAATAATAAATTTTGAGTCATACCATCAGTCTACTGTGTTTTTGCCACATTTTGACGAACCAAGCTACATAACCTGTACGGCCCTATGGTAGCACTAGTAATATCACCCATGCAAGCTCAAGTACCTTCACATTGGAAACAAGTCAGAAACTGTTAATCCACGAAGTCCTTGATTGTTGATATCATCTGTGTAGTGAAATAAAAACTTCACGATTGCGGTCCATGTGAGAAGAGAAACCAGTGGTTGCAGACTCAAGATGAGAACATCGTTCTTAATAGATTATGGTGGCGCAGATGCATTCTGCACACATTATCTTCATAAAAATCGTTGCACTGAACTTCAGTACTGTTACATTACTTCTTGCACGACTTTCTACAACTTTGACTTTCTTCTTTTTCTTCACCTTTAATAATAGTGCAATCTTGCTTGATGTGCTGATATGAGATGTGCAAACTTCGACCGTAACGCAGACGCAGTAACGCCATATCCTATGGTTTGCCTGTTTATAGTTATTCACGACTGATTACGCTTACACTCGAATGTAGGAGAAACTTTTGCTGACTGTTTCCAGCTGCATCTGAAATGACATTCACTAGTAATCTACGCGTCACAACAACTAACAAGTGCTAGGTTAAACTAATCACTGTCGAGCATTGATACCCAACAGCCATCTGTACCTTAATATAAGTGTAAAGCTTGGGCACTGTGGTTGGATGTAATTCCATATTAGATTTGTTTAATAGACATATTGTGACACAGTATTATTTACTTGATGACGTTACGAACATAAATTATTGCTCATAATCATATCAATGTAATCACACTCCTTTCGGCATATGATTCTTATAGTCCTATCATCTGATATTCTTTGATTTTATTGGTAGTAAAGTTTTCCATATCTCTGGTGTAGGTCTTGCGTAGTTCTTATCACGTGTTGGGTGCAGATCCGATGAAAGAAACTTCAGTAATCAATCTGTCCATTGAATCTACACTCAACACATGTAATAGGAATGACGTAAGACCTACACCAGAGATATGGAAAACTTTACTACCAATAAAATCAAAGAACATCAGATGATAGGAATATAAGAATGATATGTCGAAAGGAGTGTGATTACACTGATATGATTATGAGCAAAAATTATTTTCGAAACGTCATCAAGTAAATAATACTGTATCACAATGCGCCATATACCAAATAAACAAATCTAATGTGGAATTACATCGATACCTTACGATAGTCTGATTACCTTAAGACGTCCATTCCCTCGTTAATGCCACCTCGTAACTTCAAACCTGACATGGTGGGTTTTGTTATAATCAAAGCTGTTTCAGTTATTGATAAGGTGTAGGCTGAACCAGTGTTAACCAAATCGATCACAAATACCCTCATAAAAACTCGAATGGCGAATGGGTTATTAAACAGGATAGGATTTCGAGACACCTGGATGATATGAATGACAAGAGACATTTCACTCCAACATATTGCGACGACCCTGTTTGATAGCCAAGCCTAACAAATGGATGGTTCAGCCACGCTCTGCGGTCTAGCACATGCCATCGAAAATGGCGTTTGTTTCCAGGAGCGATGTAAGAATATTCTTCCGTGCGACAACGGACAACAGATAGCACTTCAGTTCTATGGGCCTGTCCAAACCCATTTCATACCGACCCCAGTTCAGCATTTTCAGAAAAAATTTCTACTTACCATGCAGCAGCTATACATCCCAGGTGGCATTTGCTTATTCTTCTTCGTGTCTCGCTAAGCTAAAAGCCTTTTTAGATGCCATAGGGACAAGAACCAGAACATAACTAGAAGCGTCATCAAGAAAGGCCGAAACAGATGACTCTTGCAGTTGCCAATATGAATTCCTCCGTACAACTGCATGATCAATTCTTGGAACTCACATCAAACCATGCCAACTTTAGGTGCTTCATGGCATCAGTGGAGGAATTACATACCAATGTGGTAGCATGCTGTTCCGTGAAGAAATACTGCAAGTAGCCACAGCATTGGTACCCCCACCCAGTGAAGGATAAACTGTGAACAAACACGTTAGAAGACGATTTCGACACCTGCATGGTTGACAACCAGTCACGCGATAGCCAATACGTCTTTTGGACTGATGTTACTGCTTAAACAAGCTCATCCTGAGGTGTCGTGATTTTTGTTGTCTATTGGCCAAGTATTTCTTGGTGGGTATAGAAAAGTTTAGGAGGGACAAATGTCGCATGTTGGACTGATTCACTGTCAAGTGGAGAAATCGGAAAGAATCTAAGTCCTCATTTGTTCATCACACTTAGGAAACAGGAAAAATCACAGGCTCTCCTCCCATCCACACAAAAAGTATTTGTTTCATGAGAATGCCTAATTTTGAGCAACGCGCGACCTGTTGTGGGGCAACCATATGCTGATCAACCCCATTTGATCGTTTACACATCTTACGCAGAATCACCTCTTTAGAAATGATACAAGTGGTGAAGATACCAAAGCCAGCATACCCTCCGACATCTAACGAAGAGTCCTATTTTGCATGTTTTTGTAGTTTCCTAACTGTGACCTACAACCAACTCAACATAACTTCTGAGTTCATGATGACAGACTGCTTTAAGGAGCTTTTGGTTACCGAAAAGAGTCTGTTGATTACAGATAGGCTTGAGTAAAATCTTGATGGTGAGGTGATAACTCGGAGTGAATCTAAAGAAACTATTTCTCATAACATCCCCCTACACTACTTAGAAGGATTTTTCAGTTGACTGCATTTCACATAAAGGACAAAATTATGCACAGTACCCTCCGCAGTATGCTGAAGTTTTGTTTCACACCCTAAAACATCATTTAGTTCCGAGTAACTAAGCTGTTTCAGTCAAGTCAAAGCCTCAAACAAAGCGAGTAGGACCTTCTCTGAGCGTTGACAAAAGGTTCTGCTCACTGTTTGTTGGCTGATTCACGACTAAATTTTTGTTTTTCATACTTTGAAACCTTCGTACTTCACTAAATGTTCAGAAATATGAACTTTGTGTCGCGAAATTTCAAAATCCTACCTCTGAAATAAATCTTTAGAGGTTCACATGTATATAGAGATAATAAAGTACCACTTATTTGCATCTATATAAGGTTCAGATGGTTTAATGCTTCAAAAACGTATGGATAAATGTCATTATTGCACGCACTTCCACTTTGAGCAAAGAAAACTGGATGAAACGAAATACAACCTCTATTTCCAGAGAACAACTCCCACTGTAAAAGCTCTCTCATTTCCTTATTAAAATTTAAAAAGAAACGACTGTTTTCCTATTCGTAAGTTCAAGGTCATTTGGGATGGCAGGATCTTATAATTCTACCGATAAATGGGAGGAAAAGAAGGAATGGGTACGAACTGATAAGATGAGATTTAGTCGCAAATTCATGACAAGACTGGAAATCCAAATCTCACCATCCAAAGTTAAGAAGTTGTCGTGGTAAGTGGAGCCCAGTTTGCTTAAACAGCTTTCCATATCGGAAAATGATGGAAGTTATCATCAAAACTTACATTGTCATAGACGTTTTTCAGCTTTATACATAGGCGGTCATGTGACAGACTGCTTAGCTGGCATTCTTCGAAAACATCAAGGATCGGAGACCCACTGTCACCTGGCGACGCTGCAGGCTCGTAACTTGCCATTTTTGGAATCTGATATTAGCGCCGACAAGCTACATTTGTGTAACCCATAAGATCAAACAAATGTCTAGACTTTCGTGATACAACATCTAATATAAATAGTGCGAGCACAGGCGACTAATAGTTTTTGACCTCTTGTGCATCGTTTTTGAAACTAAGTTCCCGTTGTTCAGTTTTCTCACCATGCAAACTAGAACAAGCTATGGTGGGAATTTCTTAAGTACAGTTTTCTCCTGAAATGGGCAAGGAAATCTCTTCTTCTTCCTTGCTCTTATCTCTGGTGGGATGAATGCTCTTTTTCGTTAGTAACTCTGATTTGGAGATTGATCAGGGAGCTACGAATAGCTGGGAAGATGACGAGTCTCTCGTGATTACTATCCGCATAGATGCCTGAATGGGAATAGCATGACAGTCGAGAGATGTATTCAGTAATAACTTAAAAGGTAAAGGCAGACAGTATGTGTCTGCTATTATAAATAAGTTAGTGGATAATGTAGACGTATCAGCAAGAGAGGTAGTAAGTGGTAAATAGGAAGGAAGCAGTGATGGGCCTTTGAGGTCAGAGACGTCCTGAGAACATCTGTGGTGAGCCGTATGAAGTGGCGCAACTGTATAGCAGTCTTTGAAGGAGTATCCTGAGAGGGTGGCAAGCCGCTTCCTAAAATACACACTCCTATTGAGAAAAAGTCAGACGTGAGCCTAGTGCTGGCCGTGTAATTTGTTGTCATATTTGGGTACCTTCATGATGGCCGTCATTTTGTAGGTAGGGTAAGCTTGTTTTCTTGGCCTACCTGATGGGTGATCTTTTGGCAGTGAAAACGTCGCGCTTTTTTCTGCGATGGCCCAAAGCGAGTAGATTTAGGTGTTTCAGTCTTTCAGAGAATGCCTTCCTACTTAGTCTCACAGTTGATGACACGACACAGAATTAAAAATCCTCTTCTTTTTGTTCTCGTGGCACTGGAATCCGATCTCCAGTAGTATGTCAGTAGGCAAATGCTACTCTCAGAACAAACTTTACCTCTGAATTGCTTCGTGTGATGCAGTGCTATCAGCATTGTCGAAAGGATCTTTCCAGAGAAAATCCCACTTCCATATTAGTTCTTATTGCCTACCAGCAACGTATAAATGAAGCTGCCAACGTCACTATTAATCCCCTCCCCTATTCTCGAACACCAAAAACCCTCAAGCCCGTCACCATCTCACTATTGCCTTCTCTATATTTACTAGTTGTTATTTATAAATATAGAGGAGGCGATAGCTAGGTGGTGATGGGCTTAAGGGTCTGAATATACAGATAACGGTGATCGCCTACTACAGCTATGCTCAGATAATCGCCTATTTTTAGCTAGCACACATTTCAGGCACAAAAAAGACACTGCCTGACGTGGCATCCGCTGAGTTCAACCCAGCGATGGACACAGACCACATTGCTATTAGTCATTGCTGGAGAGGATCGGTGGAAAGCTGCCACCCCTTCTGAAGTACGTGTTTGGATAGCGACCACGCTTTGGTCCGAGCTCGTGTATGCCTGCGTCTCAACGGACTTGAGAAAAATTTGGCGACAAAATCACCACGAGTGCTGCTGGACAACGAAAACACCAAAGCTGTGCTCAGCGAGAAGTTGGCTGGGCAGTTATCGGGATAAAAGACTGTCACTCATCCAGAAGAAGCTTAATGCCATCTGCAGTCTGCTCTAAAAGCAGCACTGAAGACCGTAGCCGACTAAGAAAGAGTGGCTAAAAAGAGACAGTGGATATCAGCAGCTTCTACCGAATTAATAGATGCACGTGAACGCATTCCTGCAGGCTCTGAGTGCAATGAAGAGCGGGCGTGACTAGAAAGTAGACTCAGAAAAAGTCTACGCAGCGATCGCGAACAGTGGTTGACAGCGAAGCCCAAATAGATGGAAAAGGCAGCAGCGACCGGTAATAGTAAACAGTTATTTAAACTTATTAAGGAAACTGGGGGGAAAGGTCAACAACAGTGAATGAGGTTGTAGTGGAGAAGGACGGGTCTGCGATTCAGTCTCAGGGGAGACCACTGGAACGATGGACAGAACACTTCGAGGAATACTTTAACTGGCCTCCAGCCATCATCACGTTACCCACTACCGAGTCAGATCCTGAATGGAACATTGAGATAGGCCCCGCAACACTAGCAGAAGTCGAGAAAGCTGTAGGTAACCTGAAACGAGGACAAGACGGACTAACTCCTGAGGTATTTAGGGATAGCGATAAGATGCTCTTAGTCAGGTTAACGGAAGTGTTAGCTAGTATACGCGAATCAAATACGATCCCGTCTGACCGTTCTGAATCACTGATTATTCTGGTCTTCAAGAAAGGCGAGAAGTCCTCTTTTGATGGCCACGGAGGAATCAGCCTGATGAACATGATGTCCAGGATCGCAGATTCTTTATCTCTTCGACGCCCGAGTGGAGCACGGGAACGGCAAGCTCGAGAAAACCAGGCGGGCTTTAGACCCGGCTGTGGATGTACCGACCGAATATTCACACTTCCCCAGGTCCCGGAACAAAGGCACGCCAACCGACGCCCGACACCAGCTGTATTTCTCGACTTGAAGTCGGCATTAAACTCTGCAGGTCGAGAAGTCATATGGCAATGTTTCTCACTGAAAGACGTGCCAAGCAAGTACACCACCTCATTGAAGGCTCTCTACTCGAACACTTGTGAGGGTGTTAGTGCCTCTGGTGAGGTGTTCGGGGAGTTGTACTCGTCTAACGCTGTCCATCAAGGTTGTCCACCCTCTCCATTCTTCTTCAATTTTGTCATGGATATTCTCATGGAGGTCTCCCACTGGCAACGTGACTACGAAGGCGTTGACCTAGTCGGTTGGAAATTTTCGTTCGACCTAGAATATGCAGATGACGCTGTCCTGTTAGGTGAAGACGCTGACAAGATACAGTCTTTAGAACACTTAGAGTGACCAGCACGTTACCAATGAGCCATGAGACAATTAATAAACCTCCACAAACCTCCAAACAGAATTAATCTAGTGCTCATTAATGACTAGCTTCAGGAGGAGATTTCCAAAATTCCAATGAGAAGTCATGACCGGTAGGGCAAACATCGTGGGCGTGAGGACAAATACTCAACAATGACATTGGATGATAGTTGCACTGTGTCGTGAACTGACAGACGTTGGAAATATGGACCACTGGAATGCTACCCGGTGACCCAGTGGTGACGTGCTGGCCGCGGAACGTGAAGGTCCCGGGTTTGACCCCCGGTGGGCGTCATGGCTGCGCACTGCTGAGAAGTCTTCCAATTGGTGTCAGTCCACGGTGAATATCAACTTAAAAGCAAGGTACCCAACTTCTGTCATCTGCTATTGCATATCTAAATTCATGCGTACTTGCCACCACAAGTATTGGAAGGACGGAAAGATGGGCTTTGAGCTCCTTTCCGGAACATATTCTGTCAACTCTTCCACTAAATAGATCCCAGTCGTTTACAGGTGTAATCACTCGACAATGTTTCAACTCTGGACGCGACAAGAATTAAATACATACCTTTAAAATGATCAAAGGCAAAGAAACGCGGACCTACTTTGCTTTGCCGAATCGATTGCAATCAAGCAAGTTCAACCTGACTTCGCTATATCGAACAGGGGACTACGAATAATTTTACGTTGCCCTGATAGCTTTACAACAGGACAGTTGTCTATATTTTGTACACCCACTGACTTCAAGTAGCTCTACTACGTTTGCCTAGAACATGCAGATGACGCTGTCCTGTTAGGTGAAGACGCTGACAAGATACAGTCTTTCGAACACTTTGAGTGACAACTTGAGAATGTTTGGGATGCGTTTCTCACCACCCAAATGCAAATTATTGCTCCAGGATTGGTGTCCAACGGTGCCACAGCTAACAATAGAGGGTGTATTGGTTGGGCGTGTTGACCACTTTACTTTCCAGGAAATTAGGATCAGTCGTGCTCTGGTGGCTCAGTGACCGGCGAAATCTCTGCACGAATACAAACGGCTCAATTGGCTTTCGCCAACTTACGCCATCCGTGTCGCCACCATGATATCTGATTGTCTATTAAGGGTCGCAAGTACCGCACCTGCACACCAGTCCACTCTGTTCTACTGTATGGCTGTAAAGCATTGCCACTAGGGTGGAAGACATGAGAAGGCTGGCTTCAGGTGTTTGACCACCGTTGTTTTCGCAGTATAGGCCGCATTCCGTGGTGTCACCATGTAAGTAACGCAGAAGTCAGGCTGGGGTGTAGTTTTAAGGAGTAGAGGTAAATCAGTTGATAAGTGTACGAACCTTCACGGACTGAGATTGTAGGGACGTGTTACGTATGCCTATTCGCCAATTTCCTCGTCACACAATGTCGGTGAAGTAGGTCCAGGCCGGAAAAAGGCATGAGGTGGCCAGACTAAAACAGGAGTAACGAGATATGAGCAGAACGATCAAAGAAAAAGAACTCGCATGTGGATTTGTTGCACAAAATTCATGTCTTATCAGTAATATACTACGGTGAAATAGCAGTCAGTGACTTCTAATGCACGACAAGCACGAAGTATAGCGCTGAAACTTTTTATCTGAAAGGCGAAGCATGTCAGTCGACATGTCTTAGCTAGAATCTAGGAGGTAAGGAATAAATAAATAAAATAAATATTCCATTCTCATAAGTAAACGTCATGCATAAGAAAGAATGTAGAGGCTTGTAAATACGACGTAAGTTTTGACATGAAGAAGTATGTTTTTAGGATTTCTGGTGCGTAAAAAAAGAGATAATTTGATGTAGAGACGTTTGCAGGGAGTTCTGAGGATAAACCGTTTCCAGTAATGCAACTAAGTGAATTTGGACGTCTTTTGGAGTCAGAAGAGTATATGTGAATGTAAATGTTTTATTCTCGCCTTAAAACAGTTCAACATGAGAGAAGTCAGTTTACAGGCTTCATCACGTTGATACATCTCAAAATATCTACAAGACTTGAGCCCTGAGTGGTACTGACGGAATGTCACTAAACTCAGTTGAGAACTGCAGAAGGTCCT